CCATTCACTTATAAATTAGTATAATAATATTATTATTATTAGACTATAGTATAGTCTAGTTACTATATTATCTTATAGATATATTAGCAGGGTTGGCCTTTCCCTTTTAATATTTAATAATAAAATTAAATAGTATTAATAAAATTAACTAATAGGCCTGTCTACTATTTAACTTTAGTTATTTTATAAAATCTTATAGATTAGTATAATTAGAAAGGACCTTAATCTAATGCATAGCTCCTTTAGTATATTAATACTAATATTTAAAGAAATAAATAATAATAAATAATTCCTTATCTAGTATTACCTAATTAAGTTTAGCTCCTATAAACTTTCTTAATTAGAAAGCTACTAGATGCTATCTCTCTTATTTATCTAGTTAGGAGAGAATACTAGCTATATCATCCTTTAAGGTATCTATCTCTATCTAAATTAGTAGAGCTAGATTAAAGTAATATAATAGTAGTACTGCTTAAAAGGCTATAATAAGTCTTTAAAATATAAGCTTTTTAATAAAATTAAACTTTACTAATCCTAGTTTCTTTCCTTCTTTTATTCCTCTTAGGAGATTAGTTAAAGGTAAAGTAATTAAGAAATAGTTCTTAATAAATTATTAGTAGAAGTTATAGAAACCTAAGAAGACTTAAATATTATAGTAACTATAGGGTTCCTCCTATATAATAATAGTTTCTATTCTACTTATATCTATAGATACACTATCAGCTAAAATAATATATCCTAGGAATTTAACATAATTTTGGTAGAAGGTATATTTAGAGGGTTTAGTATAAAGCTTTACCTTCTATAGTCTTTCTAAGACTTAAGAGATATATTTAATATATTCCTCTCTTATTTAGGAGAAAATTAAGATATTATTAAGATAGGTAATATAAAAGATATTAAGAATATTATATAAGATAGTATTAATATAATTCTAGAAGATAGCTAGTATATTCATAAGGCTAAAAGACATAACTATATACTTATAGTAGCTATATTAAATATAAAAGGCTATCTTCTATTTATCTCCTTCCTTAATATAGATTTAATAATATATATCTTAGATATTAATCTTACTAAAGTATTTCGCCCCTGAGATTTAGTTAAGAATCTCTAATATAAGGGGTAATAGGTACTAATTCTTTACTATTATCTTATTAAGTCTATAGTAATTAATATATAGTCTTAACCCCCTATCTTTTTTTAGGATAAAGAGAATAGGGGCTTTAGTAAGGCTTTTAGAAGGTTAAATTCTTCTATATACTATATTCTTATTAAGATACTCCTTTAATTCATAAAGTTCTGCTTAGGATAAGGGATATAGTAGACTAAATAGTAATAATTTATTAGGTTTTATTTTAATAGTATAATCCTAAGAGGAATAAGAGGGTATAATCTTTAATTTCTTTATTAAGAATATATTATAAAATCTAACTAATTCTAGAGGTATATTTTTAAGAGAATAATATTTCTAATTCTTCTCTTCCTTAGAAAGCTATACCTCTTTAGATAGCTTAACTAATATAAATACTATTATATAGTTATAATATAGTTTCCTAAACTTTTAAGGGGTGGTTAGGAAGAAGATTAATATCTTAAACTACTATTAGTACTTCTATAGTAATAAGTAGATGTAAAGATCCTATAATATAGTTATTAAAAGAAAAATAGGACTTCCTTTAGGTTATAGATCTTAATTAATAGTTATATAAGCTTATTTAAAACTTTATTTATTACCCCTAAAATTATAGGTAATAATAGGGACCTTCTAAACCCTATAAGTAGGGATAATAAAGTTATTAACTACTCTAATAATAGAGGTAATAAGTTTAGCTTACTATAGCTTTTATAATTTTATAAAGGTAATGCTAATAATATTAACCTTAGTATAGCTATTAAGATTAGTATATATTTTAAGGCTATTAGGTAGCTATATTAGAATATAGAAATAACTAGTAGTCTCTACTTCTAGGTAGGAGGTTAGAGATATAGATTTTATTCTAATCTTTTATTATTTTCTATAATTAATTAGACTTTAGCATCCTTTATAATATATTAATTAGTAAGATATTCTTTACTACTATATTTATAATATTTTAAGGGGTTCCTATCCTTATTAAGTTAGTTTTATTTAGATTTCTTAAACCTTTTAAAATTACTTTAGAAGTATTTTAATAGATTACTATCTTAAGATTTTCTAATATCCTTCCTCTTCTGTTTTTATTATTTCTATAGAAAGGTATAATATTTTAAAGCTATAAATACTATTTTATCTTAAGTATCTAGTAGCTTCTCTAGGTATTCTTAAATATAAGTATATAACTCTAGTATAAGGCTACTAAAGAAGGCTAGAGCTTATTACTTCTTATCTTATTAAGGAAAATATTATTCTAGGGAATCTAGATAATAATGAAATTCTCTAGAATCCTTATCTAGGTATTAATAAGCCTAATATAATTTAATAATAATATTAGCCTTAATAGTTTTAGCATCTTAGATTAGACTTAAGGTCTAGTCCTTAAAGAACTACTATAAGTTTTTAATATTTTATTATCTCTCTATTAGTATTTTATAAATTTTAATATACCATTACTGCCTGCAGGTGGAATCTATTTATATAATAGTAGTAATAATTTTAAATTTATTAGAGTTATATTTCTTTAGGGCTCCTTAGAATATATATTCTATATCTTAGAGCTATTCTTCTCTTTTCTAAAGTAAATATTTAATAGTAAAGATAGAAAGATTCTTAAATTTAATTTCCTGCTTATCTTCTATTAAAGAGAAGGTGTTATTTTAGTAGGAGAGTTATTTAGACTTATTAACTCTTTAAATCTATTAAAGGTATTTAAGTTTAGTAATTTATTATAGAATTTATTATAATTTAGCCCTCTTTAACCCTTAAGGTTAATTAGTAGGAGTAGAGGAGTTACTTAGATTAGAAGATATTTCTTTAATAGGACTATATTATTTTACTAGTAAAGGGGTAGAAGTAATAGCTTTATAGTAAAATTTAGTAGGTATTATAACTAATACTTAGGTAGTTAAAGAAAAGAAGGATTAGAAATTATAAGGATCTATATTATAGGGTAGATAACCTATTAACTAGGTAAGAATTAATAATAATAATTAATAGAAAAGAATGGTAGAGAGTAGTAGATTAATTTTTTAATAAAACTAATCCTTGTCTTCTTAAATATTAGATAAGGGGAATACTATTTATTTTCACTGTCTATCCTAGATGTATTCAGTGATGATTTGAAAGCGGCTTAAGGTATGAAAACAGGAGGTTAAAAATAATTAGGATGCAAGGGGTGGCCGCATAATTAAGTGGCTGGGCTGTAGCCAAGCCTTTATAATATTACTATCTAGGTTAAGGATATATACTTTATTCAGCATATTCATAGATGTATAACTAGGTCTGGCATACCTAGCAGAGGACGCCTTAGTAGCTGTAAGTAGGAATAAGATATTATTTATTAATAATAAATAATAATAGGTAATGACTAAGAATGAGAACTTAATAGAGCACATTTATAGAATTTGTGGCTATAGGTAATACAAGCAGATTACAGAAAAAAAAAGTTTTAGCTAGTTTTGTACATTCAGTCCGCCGTACCCGGCTTGGCTGCTCTTAGGAATGCACTAACAATGCGGAAGGGTTCAATTCCCAGAACATTTGCACTTGCAATGATCTCCGGCTTAATGATCCAACCAGCTAGAGACCTTAAACTGGGAATGTAGATTTGGACCACTCCGAGTATACCCGTTAGGTCCCCAACCATGTAGTGTGGATACCCCTGTCCCCATCTTTGTGAAGTGGAACCGATATCTCGAGGTCTGAAACCGAGTGTGGGTGGATGACTGCCTTCAATGATTTAACGAGATTCATTGCTGCTAGCCATCAGAAAGCCAATGACGCGAAACCTTCATCGTTTGTCTCCGAAAGTAGTGGCATCTGACCTTCTCTATCATTTTTGTGTGCCAGTATAACGCCGCGTAAGCTGCCGTGGCCACGCTCATAACTCATACTTCTGAGCAGAGAATGAAGATTCCAATGTTCCTGGAACTAACATTTTACTAACATTTCTTGTTACAGTCATCATTATCCTGTCTCTAAATAGAGTTCGTGGCTGGGCTAAGCTTCTCACCCGCTCCTGATGGCGTTGAAGTTTGACGTGATATCACTACTACATTCTTTTCGAGAGAATCATCGTGAGAACTCTTGCTTCTCTGGGATACTTTCAGGTTTGATCAAGATGGCTGACACTGATGGTACATGTGAGCATCTCAGATTGAGTGGACGCGCTCTCATGATAATATAATTCTGGATTTGTAAAGCGTGGATATTCCAAACATCCCTTGCCCAGTCCACATTCCTCACTAGAATTGAGGGTGGAATCCAGTCCTCTTGTTTATTTTGAATGCTTTGACGTCATATATTGTCTACACGAAACAATCAGCTCGCAGAATGACTTGCCTCTAGCAGTGCACGGGATTCGCAGCTTACAGTAGTGGGCCTATGGACATCAACATACGCGGCAAGAATCCCGGTGGATGCGGCATGGATTCTGTCTGGCAATAAGGTTGATACCAGCTTGAAAAAGCACAACATGAGGCAATGATTCAATACAATCTATCTTTCATCGTCATAGGAGAAGTGGCCGGCACTATGGACCACGCAGCTCTACTCTCGCCACGACTTACGTGGGCAGTAACAGGAGATCTACGGTTCAATCAAGGCATCGACTCAAAGTCGACAAATACAGGTCCATTGGATTATCAGATATGTCCTTGCACTGAGATCGTCCATCGATTGCGAATCCATTCCTCGGGCCAAGAAGATCTCCATATGCCATCATGCACTGTTTCACGTAGATCTCATCGACTATATATATCGAGCATATGCCTGGACTATATTGAACATATGTCCCCAAGGTGGGCTTCTTGACAGGTTTGTGCATCGGTGTAAAGAAGTTGGTAGCTAAGCATATGAAACAATGGCGTTGTCTTGCGCCATAAAGGCAGCCGATTCATTTGAATGCGAGCATGTGGAGATATCAGAGCCTGAGAGGAGAAACCTTCGGCGAGTCTGCGATGACATTTCACCGGACATTTTCCTCGTGGCTGTAGTGGAGTTGGCTGAGCGTTTTACATATCGTTCCATCACAGCGCCAATGCGTGAGTTCTATCAACTGTGCTCTCGGCGAGGATATTGCTGACAGGCACAGAAAATTACATACAGCATGGTCGTGAAGATGTACTCCACCACGGCACCCTGGGATTGGTACTCATGATAGCCTCGCTCCCTCTCTATAAATAAGCTGACAGAAGCAGGGCCAAAAAGTGGCAACTGGGATTAGTTACTTCTTTGTGGGATGGTGCTACCTGGCGCCGATTTTCGGGGCTGTTGTTGCAGACACCTACCTAGGTCGATTCAAGACCATTTTGCTAGGGACAGGGTACGTTCCCTTCTACTTCTCTTCTCGAATACAGCTAAACGTGTATAGACTCTCCATGTGCGGCGTCTTGGTTTTGTTCATCACGTCGCTACCTCCAAGTCTCGAGCATGGAGGGGGTTTACCAGGGTCAATGCTTGCATTGATATTGATTGGACTGGGGTATGGCTTTGCAATGGAACTTGAGATGTACCACGTATGCTAATGGATCAGATGCGGCGGTATCAAAAGCAATGTCGGCCCCTTGATTGCCGAACAGTACTCGATGCGCACAGAACGCGTAAAGACACTGCAGAGTGGAGAGAAAGTCATTGTCGATCCCAATGTAACAGTTCAGACGGTCTATGCACGATACTACTGGTGAGTCTCAAATATTATAAAGGCCTGACAGATACTGATATACTCCAAGGATCATAAATATTGGAGCTCTCTCTATCATTCCCGCGTCGGTTCGTGCATCTCTCGCTCCGTAAGGTCATTGCTAACGATAGTAGTGGCTGGAGCTCAAGGTCGACTTCTGGGCAGCCTTTATGATGCCTCTCTGTCTGTGGCTATTGGCCATTGTCGCACTAGCAGCTGGCCGTAAGAAATATGGTAGGTGAAGGTGCCTTTCCCTTGCAGAAAGTGACTAAATCATGGTAGTGGTCCAGCAACCGCATGGCTCGGCCGTTACCAAAGCCATTCGGGTGTTGTGGATTAGCCTGAAGAACAATGGCAACATGGATGCAGCAAGGCCCTTCGCAGTGAAGACCACTGGTGTAGTTGTATGCTGGGATGACATGTTTGTGGATGAGTTGAAACGAGCACTTGTTGCCTGCCGGGTGTTGTAAGTTCAGTCGAAACCTAACCAGCCTAGCATTGCTAACGTTATGCCAGTCTGCTATAGTATGTTCACGCTCTCCTCGGCACATATGGCATGCTAACTTTGTAGCCCCATTTTCTGGTTATGCAATGGCCAGGCCAACAACAACCTCGTCAGTCAGGCGTCGTCTCTCAAGACATACGGGATGCCGCATGATATGAGTACGCCTCACCCCAGCTTGTTATTCGAGCGACTTCTAACATTTATAGTGGGACTATTCAACCCTCTGACCATTCTGATTGCCGTCCCTCTATTGTATGTTACTCTGCTTCATTCGACATCATGCAATACTGACAAATCAGTGAATGTCTCATCAACCCTGCCCTCCGACGGTTCCAGATCCCTTTCAAACCCATAAGTCGTATGACTACCGGATTCGTCGCCATAGCTTTTGCCATTGCCATCGCTGCTGTCATCCAACAATGTACGCATCTCCTCAAGCCCTTGAAGAACTTTCTAATATCAGACTGCAGTAATATATCTATCACCACCGTCTCATGTTAGCATCCTCCTCCAGATCCCAGTCTACTCACTCATAGGGCTCTCCGAGTTCTTCGCCAGTCTGTCAGGGATGGAATACGCCTACACCAAAGCCCCAAGATCAATGCGGAGTATCGTCTCCGCCCTCTTTCTTCTTACGTGCACGATCGGTTCAACGGTGGGAACCGCCCTGTCGCCTGTATCGGTTGATCCAAAAGTGCTGGTGGAGTATGCCTCTCTCAGCGTAACCATGTTTGCCACAGCTGTCTTGTTCTACATTTGCTTCCGCAAATACAACCGGACGGAGGAAAGCATGAACATGATCGGGGAGACAGGCAAGGACGGATCGAGGAAATCATCAGTGGAGGATATGCATGATTTGTGTCAGCTGGAAAAGCAGTGATGTTAATATATAGCCGATGAAGAACACTCATGCGTGCACAACTCTATCTATTTTGTCAAATAGGCTTAATTTATCCAAACGTGGACATCGGCTCGGGGAGCCATCGCCGTGGGCCGTCAGGTCAAGGACAAAGCTCATAGTAGGGGCTTGGTAAGCCATCAATGGCTATGACGAAGTATATAAAATGGGCTAAACCATATTTGCTGATCTATCTACATCGTGAACAGTCCTGGTGGAGCAGAACGGCAGAAGAGAAGCTTTTCCGGACCTTTTGCTCCGCTGTTCTTGGCGAATATTATATCCCTTTTAGGAAATGCACCGTCGTCATTTTTCTCAGCCGATAGTCGCGAAGGATTCCCTCATGAGTTTCTAAGCATTACTACGCCATATTCAGATCGGTATTCTGTGTCTTTCCATGCCGACGAAATTTGCGGGCATATTTGTCAGAATGAATAATTCAATCTGGCTTCTGGGACAAACATCTCACTCGGCACGGGTATAAATACACTTCGGACCCCCTCACTGCCAGCGAAACATTAAAACATCATAACCATCACTGTTTCGTTTAAACTCCCTGGATCTTTTATATCCTTTGACTCCTCTAACAATCCGATCTCCTATTAATCCTTCACAATGGCTCCCAAACTCAATGCGACCCACATCGGGACGGCTACTGCCATCCTCGACATCGACGGGGTCAACATGCTCACCGATCCCTTCTTCTCTCCCGCTGGCTCCTCTTGGCCCGTCACAGAGACAATAAAGCTGCAAGTGAGCGACGATCCTGCTCTCCGTCTCCATCAACTCCCCGTCATCGATGCCGTCCTCCTAAGCCACGAAGACCACATTGACAACCTCGATGAGCTGGGTCGCCGTCTGCTAGACGGACGCCGCGTCTTCACCACCGTCGACGGAGCCAAGAACCTTTCTCCTCGCCCCGGCGTCCACGGTCTCAAGCCCTGGGAGACGATCGACACAGTCATCGCCGGAAAGAAGTTCCAAATCATCGGCACACCCACCCAGCACCTCCCCGGAGACGAATGCACTGGCTTTATCATTACCAACGAGGGATTCGGACGCGGCCTCGACGGTCTTCCCAATGCGATCTGGTTCTCCGGTGACACCGTGTACATCGAGGACCTGAAGAAGATCGGAGAGCAGTACCATGTCCTCGCTGCCATCATGAACTTGGGCAACGCCTACGGACCCAAGGACAAGACCGATCCCAGCAAAGGCGTCTGCCAGATTACCATGGACGGTAAATCGGCCGTGAGGTTGTTCCGCGAAATCAAAGCTGATGTTCTGGTTCCCATGCACTACGAGTCCTGGGGCCACTTTACGCAGTTTGGAAAGGAGCTTCGGAAGGACTTTGAGGACGAGGGTATCATTGATAAGGTGTGCTGGTTGACACCTGGAAAGGCTGTTTCGGTTCTATAGAGCTTTGATGTTGTATACCTGGATGTGTCATATAGCGGAGTTGAGGGGTCTGTTGAGGCGTCTGTATAGCGAAAGCGTAGTTGTGGTGTGGTCTGTATATATGCATATGAAACTGACATAATGCTCGATTTTATACCAGAGTGTGCTATCTGATGGCAACGACGTGGATGAGATTTATAACAGCAAACCTAGTAATATGATTGATACATCGAGCTACTCAAAGGTATCGCAAGATCAAAGGATATATACCTTCAAAGATGACAGAAGTTAGAGCTTCCCCTTGGCGACACCCCCACGGGACCCTATTACCACCTTAGCCACCCGGATACTGGCCTCGGAATTCCTGAGCATCTCCGGGTCTGACTTCTTGCTCTGGTACGTTCGCCAGAACTCTTCCTCCTTGAGATATCGCGCAAACCACTTCTCTATCCAGGCTGCCGCGACCTCTGCACACCAGCCCACTTCTTCAAAGACAACCAGATGTGTCGCTTTCGGTGAAACCGCCTTGTCCACCATCCCCTTAGCCACGCCTCCACTTCCACCAATGCCTGTCCCTGTGGCTCGTAGCTTAGAATCTTGAGCAACTGGCGGAGAAAGCCAGCTCCGACCACCAAATACCCATAATACACTTGGCCGCACAAAGGGCAGATTCCGAAAAGCCGCCCAAGCTTCTGGGCGGGAGAATGGAGCAGGGCGCTCAAGGACTGGATCCCAGTCGGGAAGCAGGAGGTCATTCAGCCCCGCTGATTCGGGTTCGAGATTGGGAATGGTGTAAGCCCAGGCCTCTTGATGCTTGCTGGTCGTGAGTGTGACGGCTGTTGAGGGAATATTGGGGTCGTTCTTGGGATTGTAGAGCGCCGTCGGCACAGGCCGCAGACCGAAGTGAAGGTAGCGGTCCATGACGCGGGGATCTAGCCTGGTGAATCCTCTCCGGAGCTGCATTTCGGCTTTTTCTCGCGAAGGCCATAGGTCTCGACGCAGCACTGCCGTAATCGCCGGGTTCGGGCCCCCGAATGGCTCCCCGAAGATGACGGGCTCGTAGAGGATCAGCGTTGAGAGAAGACGAGGATGAATGATGGATAACCTGATGCTGCAGGTTGTCAGCGATGATCATTGAAGCACGCAGATAACTTACAGGTGTGCGCATCCCATACTATGAGCGACTCCGATAATAGGACGAGGAATATCGTCGCGGAAGTGGTTGACCATATGCAACAAATCGCGGGCATGATCATGCCATGGTGCTGCTCGTCATCAGATTCCTATCCGACTAGAATGGCATCAAGTGAATCATACTATTATCCCCCTGGACATGTTCGTTCAGAACACCACTTGCCCCTTGATTCGAGATATCAGCGATCCAAATGCCACGCAGCGGAATTGATCGCTTGTTCAGTTGGGCGTAGAGATCCTCCCACAGCGGTTCATATGCCTCCTATCTGGAATTAGACAGGTACGTAGCAAATCCCGGCACAGAATGAGTTCACCTTTGGAAATCCATTTCCATGCGCCCCGATGATTGTTACGGCGTTTTCTGGGATAGGCTCTGTCTGATCGAGCGGAATATATTGCTTGATCGCAAGCTTTAAAGCAGCTTCCTGACGCCCTTTTAGGGCATGTGGATGTTCCCGGATGTGCTGTCCGGGGATGATGTGCTCAACAATCCTGAAAGGGAACGTCATTGTAAAGCAGAATGTCCATTCTGGCTACGTACAGATTGCAGAGTCAGGCGGGAGATTATGAATTTAAATGGGGATCTCCATGGGGTAGTGCTGTTGGACGCCTGATGTCAGCACTATCCTGGCACTAAGCAGGGGGCTAATATACAGATCGGCGGGGTACGGATACAGTGTTTTCGCTTCAACACCTTGGCCAATGCTTGTAGGATATGATGACGCTTTACATGAGCAAGTTGCGCAGTAAAAGGTTACGATTTCCAACAGTGGAGGCGACAGCATATTCCATGCTGACGTCATTTACCCAGTGAAGCTGGGCCCAAGCTATTTTCCTTACCTGGAGGGTATTGTGTTGTATGTAAGCGTCGTATTTAAGGACAATCTTTATAATGTGACAGCTTCATTCTCAGAATTGTGGCAGGGGCTCAAGATAGGATGTAGACCAAAGTCAACATACAGAGTGGTCCAGGGCGCGGGGCACTTTGCGAATCCTCTCCACTAAACTGATGATTTTTATCTAAAATGGCTCCTTATTTACATGAAGAATGTTCTGCTGATAGGGTGAATGTATGAATTAGCCCAACCACGGAACTTCTGGGCTTTCTATTGACTTACAGTAGGTGATGGTGGAAAGAAAGCCTCTAGTGCCTCGATAGCTAGGAGGGAATGCTAATTTGACACCGGTAATCAAGGGACGACATTCATGTTGCCTCGAGGCGTCCCTTCCCCTCCATTGAATGCAACCCATCACATGCAGTTCTTGTGATCGCCGCGGGTTTGCCCTTGTCCGTGCAGCTTGAAGACAAATTAGAGAAATCAGCCAATGAGACCCGACACGCATGATTTCCATGCATATTGACAACCAGGGTCCTGACTGGACTGGCTTACGGCGGCGGTGAGCAGCAGCTATCCTTCTCTTCACATCCCATAACCCTGCTTCAGCCCCTTGACTCTACACCTTATTCGCCATCATGACCAAGGACTCATCCAAGTCTTGCATCGCATGTGGTTGGACGTCCAAGCTACAAGAGCAGTGCTCTTATTCGAGTCATGTCAAACTTTTCTATGGTGCCGACAGACGGGGTGTGTGGTCGATCGGGTCTGATGTGATCTTGAAAGAACGCCCCGACGAAGGTCCCAGAACCGAAGTGAAAACACTGGAGTACCTTGTATCCAACCCGAATGTCAATATCCCAGCTCCACGGGTTTTACGTGACTGGGTCGATGGGAATGGGCGATACTTTGTACTTCTGGAACGGATGCACGGCCAGACACTCGAGCAGGCCTGGCCGTCATTATCAAAATCCCAGAAAACGGCCATAGCAGATCAGGTTGTTGAAGTTCGCAAGCAGCTACGGTCCCTCACATCAGAAGCTATACAGAATGTTGACCAAAGCCCTTGTTACCCGGCGCTACTTTTTTCTGATTGCGAGTCCCAGGGACCTTTCCACTCCGACCTCGAACTCTGGGATGCTATAAGCCTTACCCTTCACAGTCCGCCCACAAAGCAATTCCCTCAAAAGGCCTTGGAGAATTTGAGGAAACGTATGCCTCGATGTGGGCCCTACGTCCTCACTCACTGCGATCTCAATGTGGGCAATATCATGGTTGAGGATGGACAACTGGTCGGAATCCTAGATTGGGAATATGCCGCCTATTATCCTATATGGTATGAATATGTTTCAGCCTCTTGGGCATGGACTGAGGAGGATGCTGAGTGGAAAAAGCTGCTACAAGAACGCTTGGCTGCACACGGCGATGGACACGAGGACGCAAAGAATTTCTGGATGGATCTGCGCCATTTGAGAAAGTACCCGAATTTGGATGACAAGGGCCGAGAAGCTTTGCAAAGATTGTCCTAGAATTCATACCATCTTCTGTTGGCGTAGTTTCTTTTCCTTTTGGCTCGAGAACGTCCCGCATGCATGCACCCCTGCAGTGAGGAATATCCGATATCAGCACTGAGGGCATTCAAGCACAGGCCGGTGGCTACGAGAGGTAGAGTCCTTTGGCCCCTCATTCATGTCAATGCATAGATACTGCAGGCTGCAGCATAAATTTCGATCATGTCAGAGAGCGCTGATCCAGCTTCCGAATATCCGTAGTGGGACTCAACGACCAGTCTTATCTGCATTTCTATACAGCTCTAGTCGCAACCCCGCGCCGATCCCTGTCTGGTTTCGTATATATATAGTATCTGATTCGAGCACCACCCAGTTACAAATTCGATGAGTCCCTCAACAGCTCACAGTTCACTTCTCAAGATTAGCGACCATGACTAAAGTAGCTACATTTCCACTGCCCGGCATAAAACATGGCAATCGTATTCTGGTGGCGACGATTGAACAACGAGCGAAGAACGATCCAGACAGCTCCTGGGTGTCGGCGCCTATAGACAACAACGATCTCTCTCGAGGATACAAAGAGATCACGTTCGCAGAGTTCAACAACGCAGTCGACCATGCTGTTCACTGGTTGAAGCAGAATCTCCCTGCGGCCGACGAGCCATTCCAATCGTTCGCCTATGCGGGCCCTAAGGACCTTCGCTATCCCATCCTTGCTGCTGCGGCTGGAAAGCTGCAGAAAGTGGTCAGTATAGCCAGTTCGGCATAATAGTCTTCGCTGATTCATGCAGATGGTGCTCCCATCGCCGCTGATTCCGCCTGTAGCGCAGCGTTTGATTCTGAGCAAGACACAATGTCAGGTTTATATCAGACCGTCCAGCATGGCGCAGGTAGTCGGTGCCATTTTGGAGGATGCACCCAATGTCCAACAGATTACTGCTCCTGAACTCGAGAGCCTCCTACAAGAGTCTCCTGCTGAGCCTTATGTATACCCCAAGGCCTGGGAGGAAGGAAAGAATGATCCTTGGCTGGTAGTTCATACCTCTGGCACGACAGGTTAGTTAATCCCGAAGCACCATTGGGGGTATTCATGACTGAACAGGCAGGATATCCCAAACCAATTACCTATACTCACCAGATGATGGCCGCCTTTGATGTGGCTGCATCTCTGCCGGACATTGATGCATTCATGCTGCACCACGCTCCTGGGAGACGTTGGTACACACCTCTACCGTCTTTGCACGTATGTACCTATCTCTCGTACAACTTGTTCCTCTACTGACCATCCAAAGTTGGTAGGAATGACGATGATTCTCTCCATGACCACATATGCTCACGGAACCCTGGTCACCGGCCCCCCTACGCCTCCCTCCGCTGATACCGTCGTCGATATCTTCAAACACGGACATGTCGACAGCGCACTACTGACCCCAGCTCTCATCGACAAATGTGCCTAAACGACCGAGCCCTCTCTGCACTGAGGAGCCTCAGGTTGGTCAGTTATGGAGGAGCTCCTCTCTCGCGAAAGTCCGGCGACCTTCTCGCACCCCACGTCCAGCTCGTTCCCGCCATCGGAACCACCGAATCGGGCGGCTACTTCACCAAGTTCCGTCGTGACGAGAAGGACTGGGATTACATTGAATTCCAGAAACACGCCGGGGCGGTCTTCGAGCCCCGTTCGGGAGACCTCCACGAGCTTGTTTTTGTTCGTCTGCCGGAATGTAAAATGCAGCAGGTCTTCCTCCTCTATCCGGACATCGACCGATTCGAGACGAAGGATCTGTGGGTTGAGCATCCCACGCGCAAAGGGCTGTGGAAGATTGTCGGGCGCATGGACGACTATCTTCCTCTGAGTCATGGGGATGGGATTTATGCTGCGTCGCTAGAGCCGGAGATAGAACAACATTCGCAGGTGAAAGCGGCGCTGATAGGGGGTCACGGACGGCCACTGCCGGTGCTTCTGGTCGAACTGCATGACGAGAGTGAAGTGGCAAGTGACGCTGGTCGACAGGCGATGATCAAAAGTCTACAGCCCTATATTGACAAAGTAAACGAGCACTGCCATGACTGCGTGAAGCTGAGTCCTGAGCGTCTGATCTTCGCCAGTGGAGGCAAGGCCTTCATTCGGACGGTCAAGGGTAGTGTGGCACGGATGCCGAGTCTGGAGCTTTACAAAGAGGAAATCTCTGCATTATTCGAGAATAACTAGCTGTAAGAAGATTGGCTAAGATTAATAGATGAATTCTGCAATGAATATCTAAGACCTGACCGCAGCATCATCCTCTTTTGGGTCCAGGTTATAGTTAGATCGTACAACAAGAGGACAACTCGGTCAATTCGGATCGTTCCATCTCCTTAGATAATCCTCCCCACGCTCCGCCGTTCTCTTCCTCACTTTTTCTCTCTCCTCCTCCGGCAGTGGAGGCGGCAACAGACTTTTGTCGGGGTTAAACCACTGTTCCCGTGGAACAAGGGTCCCATCAACACCACGAAATATGTCCTCGGCCTCTTGGCTGAACGGCACCGGCATACGATCAAGGAAGGCTTTGATCAGGCCTGGACGAAGACCAATGGCATCGATTACGTCTCGGTCTGCAGTTAGGTAGCGGAGTACACCGTCCGCGCCTAGCGAGGTGATTCCCATGGGGTCAAGGGCCTGGCGCATGTCCCGTTGGATTTGACTCAGTTCTTGCTGGTCGGGGGTATAGTCCTCCCCACGCCGTATGCATTTGCTCTGTTCAACGCTGCGGTTCGGGAGCGTTCGTTTGGTCCTGTGTTGGGTGCATCTTGCGAAGTGCGTTCAATGTGGTATGGTATATGGAAGAAAGGGAAGATAAAGCTTGGCAGTCGCGGTATAACAAATTATAAATCTAACTAATTAATAGGAAATCAAGAAGCCCACTATTTTTAAGTCTATAATGACTGATTCTTTAAGCTATAACTACATATTGTGCTTACAGCATAGGGGCAAAGAGGAAATTTACATTATTATAATTAATGCCTGGGTTTTAGGGCCTTATAATGTTATACTATGCAATAAGATTCATAAACTTATTAAAGAAGAAGAGAACCCTCTCTTTGAATTTGAGCCTAGGTTGGACGGTTTAAGAGAGTACAACGGAGTGTGAGTTGATCGAGTTGATCTAGAGATACGGGCGTTATGAAACGGCAATGACTGAATATTGGGTTCATTTATAAATTGCGATATCAGACACAAGTGACCGTTCCTAGGCATCTACGAAGGGGAAAATCCACCCGTCGAGTTGTTAAGGATGATTCCCGCCAAAGCCATCAGCGAGCCAGCTGAAAGCAATTCCAGAACCTGGACATTGGAGTGCGTCTCACGAGCAATCCAGTTGCGGATCTCAATGGCAACCAATGAGTCCACACCAAGTGACGCAATGCTGGTTTCGGGGTTTAATTCCTCCAGTGGCATTACGAGTACCTGCGCCAACTTGGCTGCCAGAGCCTCATAGCAGATAACCTGAGCTTTCATCTTGCTAGTAGCATTGGCAAGTTGCACTTTCAATGGAAGAGACAGCATATCGTGTCCCGTACTGTTGCCATACTTCTCCTTCGCTGCCTCGTATAGAGAGCAAAACTTGCTGTCCTGCGCCCAGAAGTGGTCCAGACGAGCGCCGAGGCCAAGACCAGTGATGGACTGCCCCGAGCACGATTGCGACAAGACCCCTGTGACAGCGGCTGCAAGAAGCGCTAGTACCTGTGCTTCTTCCATGCCGTCCGTGCCAATGTTCCTCAGCACTTCTTTGTGGCGTTTGCTGCCGACTTCCGCGAGGTAGCCGACGTCCCGGACAGCTGTCAAGTCGATTGATGTTCCGGGGAGACCTTGAGACCGGCGGTATTCCATGAAGCCGTCAAGGAAGACGTTGGCGGCAGCGTAGGCGGCTTGTCCGCGGTTCCCGATGATGCCGGCGACGGAGGAAAGCGCGACGAAGAAGTCGAGGGGTGAATCGTGCAGTACGTGGTGCAGGTTCCAGGCTCCCTCGACTTTGCAGGATGCGACGGCTTGGAAGTCGTCGAGAGTCATGTTCTCGAAGAGCATGTCGCGGAGGACCATGGCGCCGTGCACGACACCGCGGACTGGTGGAAGACCCTTTAACTCTTGGTTGATGAGGTTGTCGACAGATTCCATACTGCTTACGTCGCAGGGCTTGACGCTGATGGCCGTGCCATGGGCGGCGAGCTCATCGATTAGATCTTGGATCTTGTTATTGATGGATGCGCTGCGGGACACGAGCACGATATTACGCGCGCCCTTGGACGACATCCATCTAGCTATGCTCCGGCCTAGACCACCAGTGCCACCGATCAGGAGGTATGATGCGTCGGCCTTAAGGACGGAGGAGCCAAGCTTGGCTGCCACGGCCTGGAAGGGATGAGCTAGAGCTTACATCTTGTTGCGGAATTTATGGTCTTGATCTTACCTTAACCTCGTCATCTTTGTGAGGAACAACGACGATCTTACCCATCGCCTTGCCAGTCTGCAGAGTTCGGAAGGCCGTCTCGAGCTCCGAGATACGGTAAGTAGACAGAGGCAGAATGGGTGTAAGAGTGCCCTTGGACATGAGCAGGTAGACATTGTCGAGCAGACGTCTCATCAGTCTGGGCTTGTACTGAGCAATCTTGGTCAAGTCGACAGAAGCGAAGCTGACATTGTTCTCGAATTGCAGCATGTCCAGGCGGGTGTTCTTTGTGATATCAGCCTTGCCTATCTCAATAAACCGTCCGAATGGCGCAAGAGTCTCCCAGGTCTCGCGGAGGAGATCACCAGCCAGAGAGTTAACCACAACATCGACACCCCGGCCGTTGGTGGCGCGCTTGATACCACGGCCAAACGAAGGGTCACGGGAGTAGAAGATGTGGTCCTCGGGGAGACCATACTCCGTCATAAGAAAGGTCTTCTTCTCCACGCTGCCGACAGTCACAAATAGTTCGGCACCGATCATCTGCGCCATCTTGATTGCTGCTTGGCCGACACCCCCTGCACCGGCGTGGATTAGAACACGCTCGCCGGCTTCGAGGTGCCCGAGATCAACGAGAGCGTAGTAGGCTGTGCAAAATACCACTGGTACAGTGGCAGCCACCTGGAACGGCATGTTCTCGGGTATGGGGGCCGCACTTGTAGCCCGGGACCGTGCGTAGGTGGAATACGCACCTTCGGACAAGGCCATAACTCGCTGGCCGACCGTGAAACTAGTGACGTTCTTGCCGATAGAAGAGACTACACCACTGCACTCAATACCGATCYATGGCTGAGCGAGCTGGCCCATTGTGACAACGATATCTTTGAAATTGAGACCAGTTGCCTTGACTTCAATCTCGATCTCGTCGTCGCCCAGCGTACCGACATTATCATCTGTAAAGTAAAGCGTATCGAGAGAACCCGGGCTAGCAATCTCAAGCTTGAGACGGCGGCCCGGCTGGTAGAATGGCTGAATTGAGGTGGTTTTCTCATGGGTCTCTTTATGAACGAATGAATTGGCAACGGTATCGTTCATGACACGAGGAACAAGAAGCTCCGAGCCGCAAGCGCGGAATTCAAGTTCCTTGCAGGACTTCTCGCCATCTACCAGCCACAGGGCGTTCATAGCAGCTAAGATAGCAGGGTTTGGCTCCTCAATATTCTTGGCTTCGAGTCCTAATGTGGCAATCCTGCCATAGCCCTCAGAACGCAGACTGCGGGTGAGACCAACGATCATCTGGGCATCAGGGCTGTCCGAATGGTAAACCCAGAGCAGGTGGGAAGCATTGAGTAGGGTCTTCTTGACGTTATCGAAGATGTCGACGGTAAGGTCTCGCAGAGACGTGATGTCTGTTTGAAGGACAACAACATGCTTCTTACAGCAGTCGATTTCCCCCAAAGTGTGAATTGATGGTTTCCAATTGGCAGTCTCGGTGGAGATGGCCTCGCTCAACTTGTTAGCACTGCCGTCGGGCTTGCCATACTGCATGATCAACAGCTCTTTGATGTGAATGCCATTGACACCATCGACGATTCCATTGCCATTAATGTGCCCCTTTTCCCCCTGAGCTATGTGGTCGCTAGCATGGCCATTGGTAAGTTCACCATTGGCGACGCATCCATCGGTGAGCTCTCCATTGGCAGTGTGGCCCTTGGTAAGGTCCATAGCGTGACCGTTCATATAACCGATAGGCTCCTCGCGTTCTTCTCCAAAAATAGCCTTAGCGTCGGCCAGAGGTTGCCATTCCATTTTGTAGCACAGGTCGGCGACGTTTTCACCGCCGTCGGCATTGGAATCCTTCACGGGAGTCATAATGACATCCTCCATGTTAATCAGGACCTCAGTGGAATCTTGGGAAGTCAACCACAGGTCAAACTTAGTGGGCTGGGGAGTAGGCAGACTGGGCCCACCAACACACCAGGCTTTAACAAAGTCCCCGGGGGTAGTAGGAAGGTTGGCGCTGATAATCAGGTTCCTGATCATGGTAGGCATGTAAAGAGTCTCGAGCTCCATGCGACCTTTACCCAGAATGGGCCAGACAAGGTGCAGCAGCGCATCCAGAAAGACGGGGTGGATGCTAAGGGGGGCTTCATACTCCTTATACATGGCCTTTTTGGTGTCACGGAGGTACAGGTCTGCACGTGAATGGTGCGGGTCAGAGAAGCAGTTGTCCAAGCCCTGAAAGCATGCTCCGTAGCCGGCTCCGACCTCGGAAAGAACCCGGTACATGTTCTGTATATCTACCTTATAGGTAGCGGCAGTCATCACCTTCTTCGTCTGAACAATCATGTGCTTCAGCTCGGTCTCGGCGACGTTGGAGACTGTGGTCTGCTGCTTCTCATTGGTGCGGACCCGAACCAGTCCCGTGCAGTGCTCAGCCCAGGCGCGCTTGGTGTTCCATGAGCAGATGCGAAACTCATCCCAGATATCGGAATTGCCACGGGTACCCTCAGGGTATGGCCGGAGGGTGATGACTGTCTCTGTGTCGACATCATCGGTCAACACGAGAGCTGCACCCACTTTCACCTCACGGAACTCGAATTGGGAGACTGTCGCCTCGCGCTGCTCCGCGCGTCTCTTTGCTGCTTCGATGGCCATAGCCAAGTAGCCAGCCATTGGATACACAGTCATACCCTGCATCTTGTGCTCCCGAAGCCAGGGCACATCGTCAAGGCGGACAATGTTGCGCCATGTAGGCTCCAAGTCATTCGAGTACAGAGCCATGGTTCCCAGAATATCGTTGCGCTTGCCGTCCCTGTGGCAGTGCTTATCGGCAATGCGGGACTGATGCCGATAACGGGTTCCATGTTGCCAGGGGTAGCGGGGCAAGTCACGCAAGAAGGATCGGTTCTTAGCCTTGCTGTTGGGGAAGTTGATCTCGGTCATATTGAGGACCGCGCCGCGCACATACGCTGCTCCAGCCACTTCCAGAAGGGACTGCGAAGGCTCTGAATTGCGAACGACCGTGGGAGCGTAGCCGACCTTGGCGGCGGGAGGGCCAATGCCCTTCAGAGTGTCCAGGATAGGACCCTTCAGGGCAGAGTGCGGGCCGAGCTCAACGAGCATGTTTGGCCGCGACTCGTCGTCGGCACACATCTTACCAAGCGCATCAGCGAACAAGACGGTAGAAGTCAGGTTCTGCACCCAGTAGGCAGGACCCAGATCGGCCGGCTCAGCGATCCCACCAGTGACTGACGAGAAAAAGGTGGCTATTCCGGCAGTCGCAGGCTTGATAGCTTCGATGGCCTTGAGATAAGCTTCAGCCACATTCACCATATGATTGGAGTGGTAAGCCACGTCGACCTTGAGACGCCGGTTAAAGATCAATTTCTCCTTCAGAACAGCCTCTAGCTCGGAGATGGCATCAGCATCCCCAGAGACCGTAACACTAGAGGGGCTGTTCACGCAAGCAATTGTAGCATACGCCTTGAGACCCTTCAGCATTGGCTTGGTCTCCTCTGGGCTGGTACCAATGGCGATCATGGTTCCACGCAGATCAGGGTAGGTACTCTTCAGGAGGGAAGCCATTTGACCACGGTAGTAAGCAAGCCCCATGGCAGCTTCCAGATCATAGATTCCGGCAGCATAGGCGGCACCAATCTCACCGGAGCTGTGGCCCACGACGGCATCCGGCTGAATCCCCCAAGAGCGGAGAAGGTCAGTTAGAGCAAGTTGGAGAGCAGTGCAGGCTGGCTGGCTGAGGTGCGGCGAGTTGATGTCGGATTCAGCAGTCTCCTTCCCGAGTTCCTCCAGAAGAGAGAACTGCGCGCCGAGATCTCTCAAGCACTGGTCCGCTTGGACCATGGTGGACGCAAAAACCGGGTACTCGTCCATAAGCGGGATACCCATTTGAGGCCATTGCGCACCCTGTCCGGTGAAGACCCATGAGATCTTGGGAGCTTCCAGCACTCGAGCCGGATTGACGTTCAGCTGAGCGAGGCGCATACCAAGCTCATCTAGTGACGTGGCAGTGACAGCAACACGGTATGCAAGCTGTGACATCCTGTTTCCAGTACTGTAGCAGAAGTTTCCGAACAGCGAGTTCTCAAAAACCTCGGGATGTCGTTCAAAGTAGACACCGAAATCATGGATCCTGGTCTTTAGGGAGTCCTTATCGCTGGCCGAGATCAAGAACAGCCGGCGCTTGGGATCACCATCTGACTCCGCATCATCTTTCCGTGCACCGGATGGAGGCGGCCTCTCAAGCACAACATGGGCGTTGGTGCCTCCAAAACCGTAGTTGGAGACACTGACATATTTCTTGCCCCGAGGGAAAGGCCGTGTGGAGGTGACCACTTTCATGTTCCATTCGTGCAGAGGAATATGAGGGTTTGGCTTTTTGAAGTTGCAATTTGGCAGCAGGAGCCCTTTCTCGAGAATCATGGCAGCTTTAATGATGGATACAACACCACTGGCGCCCTCTAGATGGCCAACATTGGACTTGACAGATCCAATGCAGAGAGGGTTCCTAGGGGTGCGATCTCTTCCCAGAGCCCGTTGCACGGCACGCGCTTCAATGGGGTCACCAGTCTTGGTTCCAGTGCCGTGCATCTCAACATAGCCACAATCCTCCGGCTTCAAATAGACGTCCTTATACACGCGCTTAATCAATTCTTCCTGCGCCTTCCCGTTCGGCAATGTAATACCCTTTGTCTTTCCGTCTTGGTTGACACCCGAATTAGCAATTACGGCTCGAATAGGATCTTTATCGCGCAAAGCAGCACCGAGCGGCTTAAGAAGAACCACGCCAGCACCCTCGCCTCGTGCAAAACCGGATGTGGCTCTCTCGTCGAAAGAATATGTTTTGCCCTCGTCGTTGAACAACCTGGAGTGGTGTCAGAAGGTGGCTCCTTGCTCCACAGAAGACGACTGGAGAACTCACTGTGACATCGACATAGAAACAAAGGAATCGGGAAGAATATTTAATCTGCATCCGCCAACCAGCGCCTCGCTGGACTCGCCACTCCGCAAGCTCTGCATGGCATAATGAAGGGCAACCAGGGATGACGAGCACGCGGTGTCCACGGTGAAACTGGGTCCAGAAAAGTCAAAGTAATAGGAGATTCGGTTGGATTGGAGAGCAGGAGCATTTCCCGTGGCCTGGAATGGGGGGGTAGTTTCGATATCGCGCACATTATTGAGCTCGTAGTCGGCAAAGTTGCCGCCGACAAAGACACCGACGTTACGACCCGCGAGAGATTCTTTGGGAATGCCCGCACTCTCCAAGGCTTCGTAGGAGGTCTCCAGCAGCAGGCGCTGCTGGGGGTCCATGGAAACAGCTTCCTGGACGCTGACATTGAAGAATGGGGCGTCGAACCTGAAAACATCTTCGTCTAGAAAGTAACCACCGGCAGGATTGAAGGTGCCGGGCTTGGACGGATTGGGATGGTGGTAGGCCCCGTGAGAGAAGCGTTCTTTGGGGACGGAGCGCCAGCCGCTCCGGGCCCGAGTACACAAGGACCACAAATCATTGGGTGAGGTGACCTGTCCAGATAATCGACACGCATATCCAATGATTGCAATTGGTTCCGGTAGAGGAACCCCGTTGGAAGGTGTGTCGTCCGGTAAAACTGCCATTGATGCCATGGAAGAAGAGAGAAACGGGGTGAAGTTGAAGTTACATATGTGGTCCACAGAATGAAGGCCAACACCATTATAAGTTACACCTTACACGGCACCAGCGGAAACTAAGCACTCTTCATAGCGTGTTTTAGTATTCTCGCGCTTATCTCGGGAGTGATTGACGTCGGGTCTGGTCATTGCCTAGCGCGCATTGTGAGTTCGGAGACACAGCACGAGTCCACGACCACCCAAGACCGATACACTTTTGCCAAAGTCCATAGCTGCTCGGAATAGTTGGCTGCTCCAATGCCGATCCCGATGATCGCGGCTCTTCGCAGACATCGACTGCCCGAGTATCCAATAGTTTGGATACGGCCGCGTGATATTATTGCAATCGAGCTTGGTTGACCATGTTCCATCCAAAAGGGGGCTTGCGAGCTCCCACCGGCTTTGTTCGGCTATGGACAGCTCGTGTCGATCGGATCGATCACGGCAGAGTTGGAGAGAACCAACGGAAAAGGCAAGGGAAGATGGTCTTCGCTTCTAAATCCTTGCGAGTGCCCATGTTTTTCCTTTGATTCTCAGGCAGGATTTGACTCATGCCACTCGTCCAGAATGCGGTTTCTGTGTCTTCACGGGGCCATCAATAACGTGGACGTAAGTATACCGTTCTCAGTACGGAAGGATTTCACACGCTAATTGCGACAGATTATGATGCTTCAACTAGGTACTCTTCTGTTCACTATGGTGATGTTCTGATAGAAGACAGCCTCTCTAATCAACATCATTCCAGCACCACTGCAAAAACACCTTGAGTGCGACAACGCTGCTTCATTTCACTATGTAAATGGACTAGTGTCTGTCACGCCTCCAAGCGGTATTTGCCCCGTGAGACTTTCGATTAGGCTGATCTAATTCATTGCGTTTAGGATTCGACAGGTATTTCGGCATCGGTCCGCATTACCGCTGGCTTGATGATGGTGGTATAGCGGAGGAGTCTCTCATCAGTCGCGTTCGCCATATACCCTTGGGTGATAGCCCGGAAGACGTGATGAGAGGTCTGATTGGCGGAAGAAAAACCATTATACTCAACTACAAGGAAGTAATGGACTACCTGTACAATGAACTAGAGAAAGACTCCGAGATCGAAGGTCTAATTGGGTACAGCGAGGGCGCTGGAATTGCAGCAACATTCATCTTGGAGGAACAGCAGAGAGAAAAGGACGGGGGTGGCTCTCGCCGTATCAAGTGCGCCATGTTTGTCAACGGATGGCCGCCAGTTTCCCGAGATAGAGGCGTTGTCCTTTCGGACGAGGTAGAGGACATGATTGATATCCCTACCCTGCACGTCATTGGCTCAGATGGTCAGTCGCGGCATTGCGGTACTTTGCTTTGACAATCACTAATCTATATAGATCCTTTCAAGCATGGTTCTTGTGCTCTTTATAATATCTGTGATCCTGACCTCGCAGAGATTTTTGACACTGGCAAGGGCCACACTATGCCACGCTCAGGTCAAACAATCACCGAGCTAGGCGACGCGGTGCGAGATTTGATTGGGAAAACGAAGTGCTCAGAGTAAATACGTGTTTGCATGATCAGTCTGACCAGGCTTCGTGTATCATACTAGAGAGGCAATGCACGTTTTTCATTACCGGACCAGGCCTGCAAGGTTCTCCTCTGGCAGTCGCATACCTTTAGTGTCCACTGAGCTAGACAAGAACTGGGAAACGCTGGCTAGTCGTCACATTGATTGGTCGTAGAAACGACGTGCTGGAAACTACCGGTGACTTTTACCTTTCCTAGTCCTGGTCATCACAATCACAACATACCTATTTAGTTCAATAGTCTGCTGATATCCTGATTGTTCACACGTATACTGGAGGTTCGGCTGGCGCGGGTTTTTCAGCCATTTGGTCCCGTCCAATTCTGCACGCTATTGTCCCGCTTTTCTGACTTTTGGGTTTGTGATAATGGTGCCTAACCTAGGGAATCACACCGGCTGCGGTTTCTCTCCCCCAATTAAACCGTAAAACCTAAATAACAAACATGGTGGTGCTAGCAACCTAAACTTAAACCAGGACCTTCCTTTTTATGGTGACAGGCGGGCATACTAACTAATATACTAACAAAGAGCAAGCTCTTCACCTGGAGGTCAAACCACAGCTCTTCCATAGTCTAATCTGCACTTTTGAAGCGCGTACTACCATTGCACTACAGCACCTAAATTGGCGTGGAAATTAGACTAAGCAGGTCATGGCCTATAGCACTATGAGCAGCAGGGAAGCAGTGTGGACAGGAAGTAGCTGGATACCACGGCACAACTACGCAGAGACACCGGAGACGCATTCAGCGACATCTCAACCATGCTTGGAGGGAAAGGGGGAACCAGCCACATGAAGGCTGCATTAGACTTTGCAGAAGCATCTCGAAGGATTCACAGCCCCGGAACACGGGCTGAAGGCAAATGGCCAACACAGGCCCCTAGGGGAGGCTTAAAGTTCGCCCGTAAGTAATGGGATCATGTACAATAGAGACACAAAAAAAGGCAGAGATGTAGTTGTAGTAGCTAGTCGGATTACTAGCCCAAACTCAGCTACAGCCCTTTACAACGCGCATCTCTTCTCTTGATGCCATTATCCAGACCTCATATGAGGCCTCGCTTCGGTTAACACGGGATTCTATCTCGTTGTAACTTTGCACAGCTAAATAATCTTCCCTGACGCAGAACGCGTAGTGCCAGTTCTCGCCAACGCGCTGCATTTGTCCGTTCCAGAACCCAAAGGTACGGTGTTGCGACACTCATCCAAGAGAACACGAGCCGCAACATCTGCGCCGTTTCCTTTTTCATCGCAGAGGTTCGCTAGTCCAATGGCTTTATCTTTTATAGCAGCTGAACTTTCACTGATCAAGACATCCAAAAGCGCCTTGGAGAGCTCATCTGCCGACCAATGCGGCTTGGCCTTCCTACTCCCTAGGCGACCGATCCCGAGCAATTCAACTCGCTGCGCATAGTCGTAACAGTCGGTCCATTGTGGTAGGACTACCTGGGGAACCCCGGCCCTGAATTATGGTTAGCCAGTTCGAATCATGTTTGATCCTTGGTGGGACACCAATAGCTCACTTGATAGCCTCGTTATATGAGTTTGCGCCTCCATGATGTACCGAGCACGCGATGTGGCCTGACTGAAGGATTGAACTCGGCTCAACTTCAATCCAAGCAGCAATTCTCACCAGATCATCTTGAATGAAATCACCAAGAACAGCTTCAATGTTATCGTCCGAATCGGGCATGCTATCATCTTCCACCAACTTGAGCTTCCACAAAACTTGAAATCGAGAAGAATTTGCCTGCACTCTCAGCACCTCCAGGGTTGTCTTCAGTGCGAATGCAAGTTCAATAGCCCGACTTGCAGTGAGTTGGCAGATAGAACCGAGGTTCACGTATATGGTTGATCCAAGAGCCAGCCAGTTTCCCAGTTCCAAGTCCGAGCCGGAAACGCACTGATGGGGTTTGAGAATTGGCCCACAAGGGATTATATTCTCGGGGATGATGAGGGGAAAGTCGAGTTCAGGAAGCGTGCTAACAAGGATTTTCAGATGTGCCAGTCGGTTGTGAAGGAGGTCCACGGGTGTACGGAGATGTGCACCAGTGTGCACCATCAGGTATTTTTCGGCATCTAGTCTGTGGGTGTAATTTCTCCATACATTTGCTGTGTGAAAGCGGAAATAGACATTTAGTGGTATCAAATACCAAGGCACAGGGTACGAGAATCCTGAAAAGAGCCTAGGCATATTTAGCTACCTCGGCGTGTCTCAAATATGCCCGGCAAAACAATTGGTGATGATGTATCACGTACGCAGGGAACTTCCAAAGTGCAGCTGCCCAGGGCTGCTTTGATGCTGCAAAATCTTTTATGGAGTTGGGACTCAGGCAGGCAAATTTAACACCCAAGTGGCAGCAAGCAGTCAGCCCTGTTGTCATTAAGCTGTTCACCACGATCAAGTCGGCGTTCACGGTGTTGATAATTCCAACAATGGAGAGGAAAATCTGAACTAGCTGCGGCCCGCTGTAAGGCACAAAGATTTGGACCGTGTCTCGGATGGCTCGGATGGTGTTTAAAAACCCAGGCGGCGCCAGGAAGGAAGCCGGAAACGGATGTGCATTTCGGAGACTCTCAGACATGGTCAAGCCATGGATCTTATGGAAAACTATCGGTTTTGTTTCAGGGATAGTGGCTTGAATCTTTTGGGATACCATTGCGACTGATTCCCTTAGACCACCGAAAGTGGCAAAATGGAGCTCGACAGTTGGGTCAGCTTGCAATATGGCATGCGAGGTTGCCAGAAAAACATTGGCTTCACCGAATTCGCTATTCGTGAGGAGGAGAATTTTAGGGCCCTGTGAACCTGTCATAATGGAGGTAAGGTCACGAAGGTGTGGTTGGGAAACGTGGAGCAGATCTTTCAGCCTGAGTACAGGAAAAACCTCTCGACCATATCTCCTAGGGAGGCTTGATATATAAGGTTATAGACAGATGAAGATGACGTTCAGGGCAGCCAGGCTCTCTGTGGATCATCCCAAGTGTTCCGGTGAAACCAAAGTACTTGAAAACCAGAGCTGAACCTCTGGGGCAAGCTGAACTATTCTCAAGTCCCGCCAACTAGATATCGTAGTTCCGCTGTAGATCTGTCTTTTCCCTAAATTCCTCCAGTACCGCGATAGGCGCTAGTCGTTCATTATGGCTGAACCTGCAAATACAATACTGAGTAAGTGACTTAAGTCTCCCACAAGCTTCCTGAGGGAATACGATCGTCGCCCGACCGGCCAGGGATAGCCTCTTCGCCAATGGTCAAATGCAGGTACCTGTATTTGTGTCGATTGCAGCAATTAAAGGGGAGAATCCCTACCAGCTAAGTGTGGTGGAGCTTAATATGATCAAGCTTGTGGACTATCATAGTCCTACTATGGAACTATCGGCCCCTTGCACGTATTCAAGCCAGGAAAACGAATTCCACCATGTGTTGCTGTTAACTGTGCGTAATGAGACGCCCCACACCAACGAGTCCAATCTAACTGCAGCGTTGCAAAAGAAAATCTGGTGGGTTTCAACCTCGAGACAAGAGCACAAGAACATTGGTGCAAGCATCCGGGCTCCCAATGACACCATCTACCATACCAGCGGCGGTGGGCTGGGCAGGTTCGATTCTAATACTATGAGAATACCGCAAATGGGAAGACTACAAACGGGACTCACTCATTCAACCAGGACAATTGCCTGGCCTCTTTATGTCCTTGGTCTGAACTAGACTGGCTGTGGGGTGGATATGGGTTGATCCATAAGGGGTTCAACCTAACCTATATAGGTTTAGGGAAACCTATGACCTTAGTTATCTACCTTCTAATCTATATAGGTTAGATTATGGGTAACCTCTTTTATCTATAAGTAGTATATAATTTTAAATTATATTACTTCTAGTAGGTAGAATAATCTCTTATTAAGAGAATATTATAGATACTATAGATAAATTATAACCTATAAATAGAGTTGCATTTGGTGCGAGTTCGGGCGAGTTCAACCTTAGTTGGCACCGAACTGCTGTAGTTTTGACTTCAACTATGAAGGCATTGCTACTACCATGCTATCTACCACTCAATAGAGAGCATTCCTTAGGTGCTCTCACATCCTAGAACCAATAATTATACCTAGATTTCCTAAAGATAACTATTATATATTAACACTCTTTTACCTCTCTTTTTCCCACGCGGTTTTTGAGGTTTTTTAATGAGGTTAACCTTACAATGTAATAAAAAAGGGAAATGTAGGGGAGTCAAACATTAAGGGTATTAATTAAGGGGGAGTATTAAAGTGGTTTAACTAAATACCCTCTAATTAGTTAGCAGATCACGTGAGTATATATATAGTCATATGTATATATCTGAGCACAGGGGAGGTTCTATTATAAACATAAACTTCCATCTCCTCCATGTATCTAACAACTATATATATAACATATATATAAATATACACACCCACATCAATTCCTAACTTACTACTTCAATATGTCTGGCGGGGTTGTAAGATCAGCGCAAGGCGGAGGACAGCGCCTCATTATCGTCGCACTGTGCATGCATGCCTGCAGCGTTCCAACCATCAAGAGAGTTGAGCGAGATTATTGGACAGTATCGTATGATCGGTTAGGCTGTTTGACAGCATTTATCCTTGGCGGGCTGTCATGGACGAACCAGCCATTGGATGCATACCTTCCTCTGCTCATTCACGACATCACCATGCTAACTCAACCTGGGCATGGATCCTTGATGCTTGAGTCTTGGGAACAGTAGAGGCTACACATAACTGTTGTCAGGAAGTGACTAGATAGATGAATGATGACTTGGTCAAGATAGGAAGATCCGCTCAGTGTTCTCACAGCAGGACGGCGCTGTTTCTGATTCCAATTATGAGGCTTTCTCATCCACTGATATCTAACCATTATCTGAGACCAATGCTACAGCGGCAGAAACTCTTTCGCGATGGCACAGCTGGTCGACCTGTGTATAAGCTGGGGATCTCCGTCGAAGGGAAACCAGACACCAAGTCTCCTACCTCGTAAACGCCATTGTCTTCATATGGGCCTTTCCCAGTGGTCTTTGTTCCTCTATGGCCAATTGTTCCTTGTCTTGAATGAAAGAAAGAGAGATGTCTTGAACACACAACTCACCCCAGTCCCGTGGTAGAGCCCTCCATGAGGCCGAAGACAAAGCGGGTCGTGTGTCTGAAAGACAAAGGTCTTTGTCTCAATGAACAATGAATTGTCGCAGTGAATATTTCCACCTGCTAGACACTTAAGTCCATTCCAAGACAACTCAGTAGTTGACTGTCTATAAAAATGTCCGTTGTTCATCAAACAGTAGCTTCACTTCATCAACATTCCTCTTCCCCCTTACCAACACCCTCCTAACCAAATCGCTATCGTTTTCCATACCGACCTTGTCACCCTTAAGCTTTTCAAGATGGATCCGCAGGCCGGGTCAGTATCTTCTGCTAACAACTCCGAGAATGCAGCTGACAACTTCAGTCCGCTTAGCATGCTTCCCCCAGAATGCGTTGTGAATGTCCTTGACAACCTAGACACCGCCGATAACCTCGCCGTCTCCAATGTGTCCAGAGACCTACGCAAATGGGCAAAGCCCCTCGTCTTCAGGGACATTCTCTGGACATACACGGCTACGCCTCTCCGACGAGTACTGCTGCTCCTGGAACAAATCTTCCTGAATCCGCAGTTTGCAGGGTATGTCAAGCACCTCCAGCTCACTTACACCGGACCGGCCTGGGTCCTCCCAGATCCAGATATTGACTTTCAACAGCAGGCCACGAGATTTGCCTTTGTTACGGACAAGGCAATCGAGTTCGTGAGGCAGATCGGGCTTTTCGACAGCGAAGGTTATGCGGCGTTGCTCCAGCAGGGTAATTACTACGCGTATGCAACGGTTCTCATCTTCCAGCTGCATAACCTGCGAAGTTTGGAGTTAGACTATACGTACACTTTAGTCGGGGGCTTCCCCGGTCTGTTCCTTGAGCACGCCCTCCGCTCTTCGTTCGAAGGTATCTCCAGATTCAATAGGCTGGAGATCCTCAAGTACGGCGGCGATGTTCCCCAGGCTGAGAAACTCGACGATGAGGCGGAGGAAGCGGTGGCCGTTATTCCCTTACTGGGCAACAAGTATCAATTTGCTCCCTGGTTCGCCCTGCCCAAGCTGAAACACGTGGAGATGTGGCTCAGAAGTGCTTTCGGGTTCGATGAATACAAGGATCGTCTGGAGTCCAGCGAGCTCGAAAACCTGGTACTGGCTAGGTCAAGCGTAGATGCTGCCGATATCAAGGAAATTCTCTCTGCCTGTCCGAATCTCCGGAGGCTGCACCTGGGAGTCTGCTACAACTTGGTCTCGCAGCTAGTCCTCTTTGACAGTAAGGACCTAGCTGACGCGTTGAAGCCGTTGAAAGATCGCCTAGAGGCGCTCTCAATCGGTCTCGAAACCGATCCAAGCTTCGTTGGCGGATTCAGCTGGGACCAGGATAATAATTTTGGCAGCACGCTGACGGATCCCTTCCTGATGCTGTTCAGTGAGTTCACAAAGCTTCACGAGCTCGAAGTCCCAATGCCGCTTTTACTGGGATGGTTCTCAAACGAGAATTGGGCGGATTTCCACAAGTACCTGCCGCCAAAGGTACGACACTTGGTAATGCGGAACGATCTCTCCGGGTTTGACAACTACGCATGGGATCCGTACGGGATGGTCTTTGCGGTCGACCAGCGTGTTGTTGAGACGAAGAAACGGATTCCTAGTCTGCAGCGGGTGACGCTTCGAGTCTGGGCCACGAACCCTCGACGGCCGAATGAGGATTTCCTGACAGAGGCGGCGGATATGGCTCAGTCTGTGGGGGTGCAGTGTGACTCTGTTGTGGACGAGCTTGGCTCGGGGCTTTGGGTTGCCAGATCTACCTGATGGAGTCCATACAAGGTGTTTGGGTGTGTGTCCCTATTATCTACTTTCATTTCCTGGTCAAGGTGCTGACTTCTCACCATCTATTGTCACGATCAATTCTGCGCTTATGGTAGCACTGACGTACTCGATCAACAGTCATTCAGTATCGGTAAGTTCATCATTCTATTCTATTGACATTTCGAAGAACAACTCGACCATTTCAATACATTAAAGTCAACTTCCAATTAAATACTGTATCCACCAGACTGCAGCCATTGTCCCGTAAAACGTAAAGGAACCGAGATAACAATCCCAAAACGAACTGTGTACTATGCAATCACTTGTCTCTCAACTAAGTGTGTGTTAGTATCGCTCATGATTCATATAGTTCAACATACTCAGCTGCTCGATCCAATAATCTCAAACGACTGAAATCCCTGGCCCTGGGTGTAGCAACCGTCCCCTCCGGCCTGATGAAAGGTATCGCAGGCCGTGCCACTCGATGCGATGAACCTCCATCCATCCGGAAGGTCCTCGACACTCATCGCTTGAATGGTCTCGGTGACGCCGGTGAGCCAGTAGCAGCCCCAGTTCTGCTCCCCTGCGATGGAAGTCAGGTAGCCGGTGCAGTCAGTGTTGCTGTATGCGGTGACATTCCAGGCTGCTGTGAGGGAGCCGGAGAGGGAGAGGAGAAGAGTTGCAAGGGAAAGGTTCTTCATATTGAGGCTTTTGCAGCTTGTGCTTGAAGAGGATGATGGCTATTGAGGCTGGTTGTTGTCCAGGTTCGGGATACAAGCAGATGCTGCGTCTATTATATATTTGAATCTCATCCGTCTCACTTCAGCTCAAAAAATGAACAATTCTATATTTGGATTAAAGTATGTAAGGCGTCAGCCTCTGTATGCCCAGCGTCTCTGCCCTATTGGCTTCATCTGACTCATGTCGAGCGACAGACAAGATCATACCTAAACATATCCAATCTCGTCTCCTCGCACAGTAAGAAAAGTGGATTATTCTCACAGCCCGGTTAAACAAGCCCTCAAATGCGCAGTGATTTGCTGGAGTCTGTCAGCTGCGGGGGGCCTGATGGTCAAAATGTGGCAGTAAATGCGATCTTCATAAGTCGATCTCATGAGATATGCAAATCTGGAAACATGTCATCAACTAATTCTCGGATCCATCAAGGCGCTAGAATGACTTTCTTGTCATGTTCAGAAACCGGATGGGTGAGAGGTATGTCATAATCTGACGCGACAGAAAGAGATGTACTCTTGGGATGTCGCGGCCCATGCTCTTGATCAGCCCGGGATCGATCTCCTGCAAAAAGGTTCTCGAGCTGGTGGTTGTACTTGAATAAGAAGATTCAAAAGACCAGGCGATCAATGTGAATTCAACACAAGTGGCTGTTAATCCTACTATTTCGGTCCATTATATCGCATAGATAGCTGCAGCATGTGTGGTACAATATTAAGGATGCGTTAGAGGACAGTGGACGATGACAAACCCGTTCTGCTGAGATCCGAACAGAGTAACCGACTTGACGAGGATTCATTCTCCGCAGTTGAAGGATTCGCCGAGACGCGGATCAGGCAGCAGCCATGGCATTCCACATAGCGTGGGAAATGCGGTCACAACTACGTATATTCTGACCAATATTGCACCTTGGATGATGCTTCTGTTAGTTAGTAGATGAAGAGAGGATGAGACAATTGATTATATTATTATATTGGGATGAATGAAAAGTGTTGGTGGCCTGAGGATCTATTTTGGGATCCTTCTGCCAAACTATCCCAGATAGGCCTAGCGCGTCAACGCCCAAACAAAACAAAACAAAACAAAACAACCCAAACAGTCGACTAAACTTATCGCAAACGGCCGCCACAACTTCCGGAGCTAGAGTCGCGCCAAGCTGCTAGTTTCAGGCACTCTTCCTTTTCCCCCTCGTTCTCCGGAGATTCACAATCTGTTGCAGAGTGCAGAATGCCGGGAATCCTCTTTTCAATTCACCGACGATTCTAGCCACAACACGGTGGTTGAAGAGAAACGCGGATCGACAACAAGGGACATTTCACTGCAGGAAACCATATCCGAGAGAGAGGCCCACCGACGATCAGCAGCACGGGAACACCGGTTCATGATGCGCTCGAGCTCCAGGGACGACTAGATAGGCATTTCGGCACCACGATCTCCGCTCCTGTAGCCCCTCCGGTCGGCTGATATCGACCGCTCCGGTGGAATATAGATACTTGCTCACGACTGTCTGGATCTGGACGAAAACTGGGTTCTGTTGATAGCGTCACCGATGCGGCCTCTCGTTGCCATCCAGGCGATCGTCTTTTTCAGCATCCTGTGGCTGCTTTATCGCTACTATGATCGGCACGCTCACTGGTCTGCCATCACCGAGGCATACCCGGTGACGGAGATTGCCATTCCCCAGACCGTCCACCAGCTTCTGCTGTCGATGCCCGACCATCCCGTCTCGCATTTCCAACCCAACGGTCACGTGATCTCGTGGCAGCAATCCGGCTGGAAGGTCGAGTACTGGAGTGAGGCGGCCTGCCTCGAGCTGGCGCGCGAGGTGGACGCGTCGGGAACATTTGCAGCCGCATTTGAGAAACTCCCCTATGCGGTGCTCAAGTCCGACTTTTGTCGCTACCTGGTCCTGCTCGGGCGAGGAGGAGTGTACAGCGACCTCGATGTCCACCTCGTCCAGCCGCTGCCATGGACTGTTATGGGCCCTGAGGGCCAGTATCATAGCCCCCCGAATGTGATTATTGGACTGGAAGGAGACGCGACCACCAAAGGTCTCCCTCGCTCGCCGCAATTCGTCCAGTGGACTATGGCTTCGACTCCTTTGCACCCCATGTTCCGGGATCTACTTACTCGCATCGCGGAGAGAACGCCAAGCTTTGTGGAACAGGTGCACGCTTTGAAGGGTGATGCTGAGATCAACGTTATGGACTGGACGGGGCCGAGTGTATGGACCGATACTATCCTCGACTACTTGGGCTGCTCGGAGGAGCAGGTACAAAACCTACGGGACTTGAAAGACCCTGTGAGAATTCGCGACGTGATGATCCTTCCCAAAAGATCATTTGCCATCACGCAGGGGGAAGATCACACATTACCCGATGTGCTGGTGAAGCACTATTTTAGTGGCACATGGAAAGGTTGCAAGAACCACTGGCATGGGTGGATGCTACCATGGCTTTGTTAGTATTCGTTTTTATTAGTGTGTACTTAGACTAGTCTACAGATGAGTTGAATCTGCATGACTTCGATTATGTTAATTACAATGGCGTTGGCAATCTAATTTATCTCTAGCATGCCGAGGTACTTTGCAGTCTCAGATCTGGCCAGACGTAGATTAGAAATCCGTCCTAAAAGTATAAGTTCACCCGATTAATTCAATTCAACTCAATTCATCTTTTTTAAGGCATATTTCTCAGGGATACAACATGCTTATTGTACATCACCTCCAACGATCTCAGTCCGAGCGCATTGTCTGGCTCTGCGAGGAACTGGGCATTCCCTACGAGCTCAAAACCTACCAGCGAGATGCAAAGACCCTATTATCCCCTCCAGAATTGCAGCAGTTGTACGTGGTCACAAAATACCAAAAAATTGTAGCGACATGAGCTGATCTTGTCCAGACATCCCACACAAGCAGCCCCTGTCATCCAACACCACCCTCGCAGAATCCGGCGCGATCGCCGAATACATCCTGACCAAATACGGGAATGGGAAATTGACCATCCCTCCAACAGCCGACAACTACGCGGATTACCTGTACTTCTTACACTTTGCAAACGGATACTTCCAGCCCGCGCTGGTGGGCTACTCCACGGTCCTCCGATCGGGGATCTCCCGCGATGATCCCAGTGCGAGGTTCGCCCGGCGCAATTTCGAGCAGGCGCTGAAGATCCTGGATGATCGACTGAGCAAAAATACCTGGCTGGCGGGCGAGGAGTTTACTGCCGCGGATGTGATGAATGTGTTTACCTTGACCACGGCGCGGTTGTTCTTCCCGTATAGTTTGGCGGGGTATGAGGGCATTCTGGGTTATTTGCAGAGGATTAACCAGCGGGAGGCATATCAGATTGCTATGGCGAAGGGGGATCCTGGGTTGATTCCGTTGGTTAGTGCTGAGAAGCCTCGGTCGATTCGGCTTTAATAATGTCTCTTCCATGTTGGGTTGATGAGCTTGACGTGATGTGCCCACGCCCACTACGTCATCGGGGAAAGTGTCGATCACATCAAGAATAATATGTTCCATCAGAACTTCACTTTCTTCATTTGGAGTACCACATTCAGTACACATTATCCCAGCAAAATGTCCCTCAATACAGTGACCAGCGGCCTAAACAAAGGCCTACCCACCGAGACTGTCAACAAGACCGCCTCAGGAACCGTCAACCAAACACCACAACAGCTCAACAACACCACCGACAGAGTCACCGACCAAGCCATCCCAGGCGAGTATCCCTCCGACGACGCAAAATATGACAAGCCCGCCCCAGACATCTCCTTCTCAGCCATCTGGTCCTCCTTCAAAGCCTGGCTCTTCTCCTTCTTCCCGAGCCTCCTCGACCGCTTCGAGAACTGGATCAAGGGCCTCATCGCCTGGATCCTCCCTCCCCCGCGCCAGGCCAAAATGTACGACGCGATTCTGAAGCGCCCCATCGCGTCCTCGTTCATCATCTGCCAGCTCGTCTGCTGTGGGGTTCCGCTGCTGGTGTTTCTAGCCGGGGTGTTTCTCTTTGCGGCTGTTGCGGTGCTGCTCTGGGCTGTGCTCTCGTTGCTTCTGGCGGGGCCGATCTTGTTGGTTGCGAGTATGATGGGGGTGTCGCTTTGGGGATGGGGGTGGGTTTTGTATGGGATGGTGAAGTTTATTGATCAGCATTTCCTGGGTGGGACGATTACCCGGTTCTGGTTGTCTCATAGTCAGGATCAGGGGGATGAGCCGGAGGCCGAGGGCGACGAGGATGAGAACGGTGAGAAGACGGGGACTGATGAGAAGAGTGAGAGACCGAGGAAACCGAGGAAACTGGAAGTGAAGAAGGACACTTAGGTCTTCGGGGTGGTAACTACTATTTCCTGCTCTGGGTTGGCTGTAAGGACATTCAGATTGGTTGGCAGGATTCGAGCGTTGCATTTCCGAATGATGATAATGAGGTACGAACGGTTAATGAAGCTAAATATATAGATTGTGTATACCCATATCAAATTGGTAATATCTGCTCCAGTGAACTAAACGACAATCCATACCCTCAAACACCCAACTCCGTAGATGCCATCTCTAATTCCTATAATCCGTCAGTACATACCCAATGCAGCAGGGGAAAGGACCTACAGTAAAGACAGTGTCAGGTCGCCGTGAATCCTCGCCTTCAATTGCACCTCGATCTCCAGGTTCAAGTCCAGCCGTAAGGACAACGTATTATCGTCCGACCCTTTCTTCTTCTCTGGCTGAGCTTGATTTTGTTGATCTTGTCCCATCATCATGCCATTGAAATTGGTGATATTGCCCAGACCGCCGGCATCCTGTCTTCGCCCTACTTCCCTCCCTACATTGTCACCTCCGAACGGCACTATGCGCTGCTCATCACGTCGGCGGGGTCGACGTCGTCGTTCGCGATTGTTCGCGGTGCCAAATTGTTCAGTGGTCTCGGACTGTGTTTCGGATTGTTCGTCGGGATCACGCCGGGGTCGACGCGTGCGGCGGTTGCGCCGTTGAGGTTGCTCTGGCTCGAGCTCGGGTTCAGGTTGAGGGCCACTATCGGGCGAGTTCACTGATCCACTGTCGTGAGGTTGATCGGCCTCTGCAGGTGTATTGTTGGCTTCTGAAGCGTCACTTGGTTTATCATGAGCTTCGTCTTCTGCATTCTTTCGCGGGTGCAGCTTGGCTGGTTTCTTCTTCTGTGGGGTAGGAGTCGTAGGCTGCTCTGGCTCTTGGGTTGAGGCGACCATTGTGATGACAGTGGTTTGGAATGAGTGTAAACAACCAAGACCTGTCAGTTGAAACGGAAGCTTATAAAGGTGGGGTGATCGACACGTTTCTGGCAGGTGTGCGCGGATTCTTGAATCGAGATCAAATGTCATCACCGTGTGGGGAATGCCACCGACGTCATTAGACATTGTCCAATCAGAAGAAGCGGTTGATGCAACCTGGATTTCTCAGCCAATCATCGGTGAGCGATAAATTTAGACAAGATGTCCTCTGTGGAGACATGTTGACTATGACATAGATGGAGTTTATCTGGACAAAGCATATTATGGAGGTTAGACTTGTTGTAGGACCAGGGCCTGGCGTGATCAAGCGGCGAATCCGTATCCCCCTAACATGGCATAAATACACCAAGGGTCAATATCGGTATTCTGATCGAGTAATTGTGCCAGTAGCAAGGCATTACGAATGCCAAAGTGATCGCTGATATAACGAAACATGTACGAGACCCACTGTCTCTGATCGACCGTGGCTGCCTTGGATCGAGCGGCAACGTACATAGGAAACAGAAGAGTGTAGCAGTCGAGGAGTTCGGACGGTGTATGCACTTTGTCGCAGCCTTTTTGTGGGACAATGGAGAGGCCAATGCCATCTGCCTCCCCTTGGCTGCGCTTCGATCGGCATACGTAACTTGCATATTGCGGGATGGAGGCATATATCTCGAGCGACAGTGCTGCAATATTACTCAACGCAACTTCAGACGCAGCGAGCTGGTTAACTCCGTGGATTGCGCTCAGCTTGTCATAACAGTCCAGGAGATATTCGTTCAGCTGGATGCGAACCTGCCGCAAGACGTTCCAGGCCTGCGTGACAAGGCGATCAAGATACAAGTCCATCTGCTGACCGTACACATGGGGCAAGGGGTACCGCAGAGTCCGCCTTTCCGGCTGCCAGTCTGGAGGTATATTCTGCGAGAGCACTAAAAGGGCCTGGTCAAGATCCTGTGCGCGGGCCATGCTCTCCTGGAGTGACCATCTGCCGGTGCGAACTGCACTAAGGAAAGAAGCATACTGTATCGTCAGTGCCGAGATCTTCCATTTGGGATTGTCTTTCAAGTTCAAATGACGCTCCAGATGGTCACAGAGTATAAGAACATCTTTGGAGACGGCATGCGCGCTGGCCACACAACTGATGACATAATTGGTTAAGAATCGCGATATGATACGTAGGGCATAATGATCCTGAAAATTCTGTACTCCGATCTTCTGAATCAAAGCGAGTGTCCCGTTGACATGGCTCGGCCAGAATTGAATGACGCTCGCTTCGGAGTGAGTGATCTTTTCGAATAGGTCCAACAGCAGAGATGCCGCGATGAGGCTATCTCCCGCAGTCGGGGGAGAGCTCAAAGATTGTTTCATCACGCGCAAAGCCAAAGCATACCGCTGACGAGCCAGGGACAATAAAGGAAGAGAGACATGTTGATGCGCCAGAAGCGCTAGGCTCACTGCATCAATGCTCGCATCTAACCAACGAGGTACCACCTCTGTCTCACGCTCCCATGGAACGAGAAAGTCCCATCCACGGGAGCCTACAGACACATAATGGGCGAAGAAGATCATACGGGCCTGGATGTCGATGGAGACTGACAGCGAAGACTCTGTCAAGCTGACATGTTTCGACTTCACTAAAACCTTGCGCCGCGCGTCATCGGTCTGATCTTCAATACGAATCTCCTGTGGATCCCGATATCCATGGCAGACCACAGCTGCACGAAGGCATGGCGTGCACGAATCCCGACGGTAGTCACACTGTTCCCTGTTACATACTGTCTGGGCTGCGTGTGCAGGAAAGCATACCTTTAACCGCCGAGTCCGACAGCGCTGGCAGGCCTTTGACGGACGACCACGAAATACCATCAAGATTAATCATAGATAGACAGATGTGTTGAAGCCGATGGCAGAAGGACAGTGGACGGGAAAGTGGAAGAAACGGGGGGTATCAAATAACGCTAGTCCATTTTGGGTAGGCATTTCGACGCCAAGTGGACCATTCCTTGTCATATCAGCTGCAGACAGTAGAAGGTGAGAAGTGCAACAAGAAGACAGAGAGAAATCTTGTCATATATAAAGGAGGCAGTGATGGTGCTCAGACTTTCAGTTGTGTTCTTCTTGCAAGCACTTCCCTTTGCAGTCAAGTAGTCGTCACCATCAAAGATATATTCTTGCCTTGTCCACACTCAATTCTCTTGCACTTGCAAGTCCTAACACAACCATCCGAACATGTCTATTTCCTACAAGCATGTTCTGCTTATTGGAGCCACTACCGGCATTGGTCGTGCCATGGCCGATCGGTTGATTCAAGCCGGCGTCAAGGTCACAGCCGTTGGTCGTCGCAAGGACCGCCTGGACGACTTTGTTCAGAAACATGGAGAGCAAATGGCCAGCGCAGTCCCCTTCGACATCTCCCTAGTAGAGAACATTCCAAAGTTTGCAGCTGAGTAAGTAATGCATACAGCCATATGACCCTGCTGACGGACCAGAATCATCGACTCGTACCCCGACGTGGATTGCCTTTTCGTCAATGCAGGAATTCAACTCCCCTTTGAGCTTGATGATCGGGGCCAGTTCGATTTGATGGCATTCAACCAGCAAATGAACGTCAACTTCTCCAGTCTGGTCGCCTTGACGCACGCCTTTCTGCCCTTTCTGATCGAGAAAAAGAGCCCCACCAGTATCATCTTGTGAGTATCGATCGTCCATAGTTCCACGAGTGGTGACGATCTAACGAGATAGTACCGGATCAAATGTGGCTATCATCCCGGCTGCACCTCTGCCGGCATATTCTGCCTCCAAGGCTGCATTGAACGTGTTCACCTTGTGTCTGCGTGACCAGCTGCAGAACTCCAACGTGGCGGTGATTGAAATTTCTCCCCCAGCAGTGCAGAGTATGCCATTCCTGCATCCTTGAAGAGGAGATTGACTAATGGTGTAATAGCCGAGTTATATGAGATAGGGAGCAAGGTGGGCATGCCCCTGGACACCTTTACTGAACTTGCATTCGAAGGTCTTGTTGCGGGACAAGACCAGATCGTGATAGGCAATATTGGGCCCGCTGAGACGTTCAATGCAATTATTGACCAGAGACGCAAGGCGTTTGAGGACTTGGCCAAGATGATTAGGGCGCAGCAGAAATAGTTGTATACTGCAGACACCCCTCTACACGGTCTACGTTGAGATGCCTAGGATTCTTCACTGATATCATTGTCCCTATCGTCTTGTTCGGTACAGTCTAGTCTGATTCAAAAACTGCTGGGATCCGAGATCATGACGTAGATAGGAATTGAGTATTTCGTGCATTGTTTGAATCATTCGGGGGATCGCCGGGATATCCACCGTAATGTGCACAAATAGGCTTGATGCCGGATAATCATCCCCCACAGTCTCCGCAAATTTCCCGGCTTCTGGAAATAAGGAAGATGCGGGGGTAAACTATTATTTTCTCATCTCTATTGCCAAGTATGCCTATCAGTTTGTCCGCCAGATGGCCCGGACAAGGTCTGGTTCCCATACGCCGAATACTACAAGTCTACAACTTCAAAATATAACTATAGGACTAGAATGATGAATGCAACTAAGCACAGACAAGTATCCAACAGTCATCATGCTTAAGCACATCTTGTTAGCCACTGCAGCGGCTTTCCTAGCCTGCGATGTTGTCGCTGGAGAGTCCTGCAACAGTACGACACCTATTGTTATCCATCCCACTCCTCCCGGCGTGGTCAAATATGACTCGTTCGCGGTTCAAGTGCGCTCAACTGCTTATTATAAGAAGCAAGAGTACACTGTGCAACCGTTCCTTGTCCAAGTGGCCGAGGCCAATACCACCAGTGGAGCGAGTATCGTGCACAACACTTCCGTCGCCTACTTTGATTTCTGTGGCCCCGTCGAGGTGTCCATGACTTACAACAATGGCCCTATACATTCCGCCGTGGTCCGTCCATATTCATACAACATCGTTCCAAAGGTGCACGGGAACGTCATCACTTTCTCCCTTGATTCTCCCAAGAACGTGGTGATCCAGGTCAACGATAATATCTGGGACGTGCTCAACCTTCTCGCCAACCCCATTGAGACTGATGTGCCTCAGCCATCCGATCCGGGTGTCATCTACTTCCACCCTGGTATCAACAATAGCACGGTGGTCGGGACAAACAAATCACTACTCATCCCGTCCGGTAAAACTGTCTATGTCGCTCCTGGGGCCACGGTCACGCTTCCACTAGCGTTCATCAATATCTCCGACGCTGGCGTCCGCGGCCGAGGTCTGCTGCTCAAAGCCCCTATCACAATCGAGTATTCCTCGCGCATTACAGTCAGCGACTTAGTCTTGATCAATACGAACGTCGGCATCGCAGTCTCATCTGATGTGACGGTGCGAGGGATCCGGTCCTTCTCCATCGGCGCATGGGGCGACGGATTGGACGCCTACTGCAGCCGCAACGTGCTCGTGGACAGCGTGCTAATGCGCAACTCGGACGACAATATTGCATTCTACCAGCACCGGAACAACTGGTCCGGAGACTCGAGCAACCTCACCATCCAGAATGCCGTGCTCTGGGCGGACTATGCCCACCCCATCAATATCGGAACACATGGTAATACACCCAACCCCGAGACGATGGACGGCGTCACGATCCGGAACATCGATGTGCTCGACCATCGTGAGCCGCAGATGTGGTACCAGGGATGCCTGGCTATCAACGCGGGAGACGAGAACCTCATCCAGAACGTGGTGGTGGATGGAATGCGCGTCGAGAACTTCCGGGAGGGCCAACTGATCAACCTGCGTGTCATGTATAACTCCAAGTACAATACGTCGCCCGGAAGGGGGATTCGCAATGTGCATATCAAGGGATTGCAATACAACGGGACCAATGCTAATCCGTCCCTGGTGCTGGGATATGACGCAGAGCGCAACATCACCAACGTCACCTTTGAAGATCTGGTTGTTAACGGCAAGAAGATCTACGATGGCATGCAGAAACCGACTTGGTACTACACAGCTGACTTTGTGCCCATGTTTGCTAACGAGCATGTCAATAACCTGACGTTTACGTCGTCATGATCAGCTGTATATAGATGGTGTCCAAGACATTCTCGTTAGAATCTTTCCGCTCTCCGAAGTCAATGCTAGTGTAGATTACTCAAGAATACACCCTAGATGAAACTTGTGTGCTATTGCATATAATTAGGGTCGAAATATCCCGAGCAGCCACCAAGGAGGCGGGGTATCTGGGGTTGACTGGGGTATTAACGCTTCGGAGAAGGCGTTGGTTGAAGCTTGGCCAGTCCATCAAATTCCATAAATGCCAATATGATCTTGTCCACTTTGCTATGGATATTGTCCAGCTCTTTACCAGGACATGTTGCTCCTCATTCAGCCCAACCTGTGGTCGACCTTGGCTACTCACGGTATCAAGGCGTTAGACTTGCAGCAGCAGTAGATCAGTATCTGGGCATGCGATATGCGGCACCTCCTCTAGGAGACCTTCGCTTTCGAGCTCCGTGGGAGCCTGCCCATAATTCCACTCTTCAAGATGCATCGGAGGTAAATACATGAGTAGTCCAAAGATTCCAGAGCTCACTCTCTACAGTTCGGGCCCATATGTGTGGGAACTGGCCAGAGTGCCACATCGACGAGAGCGGAGGATTGCCTCTTTATCAATGTGTTTACGCCTTCCAGTGCCACTGCACATTCAAATCTCCCAGTCTGGGTGTTCATCCAGGGAGGTGCTTATGCGACCAATTCCAATGCAAACTACAACGGGACCGAGGTCGTCCAGGGATCCGGGAACAATATCGTCTTTGTCAACTTCAACTATCGCGTAGGAGCGCTTGGATTCCTAGCGGGCAAGGAAGTCCAAGAACATGGGGACTTGAACGTTGGCTTACTGGATCAGCGAAAGGCATTACAGTGGGTGAAGAAGCATATTCGTCAGGTATGCTTCATGTCGGATTGTATGATCTTGTATTGCTGACAGGTTAGTTTGGCGGCAATTCGGATCACGTCGTTATACATGGTGCATCAGCCGGTGGTGGCTCAGTGTCTTTCCATCTCACAGCGTATGGAGGCCGAAATGACGGCCTTTTCGTGGGCGCCATTCCGGAGAGTCCCTGGTTGGCTCCTCAAGTAACAATCTCCGAGTCTGAGGTACTCTACGGCCGCTTACTGCGGGCCGTGGGATGTTCGACACTCGCGTGCTTGCGCTCCGTGGATGTCTCTGCCATCCAGAAAGTCAACTTGAGCGCACCAGATCAAGGCTCAATTAGCTATCCTGCCGGGCTGGGAAAGTTCTGGCCAGCCATAGACGGCGACCTTGTCCGAGATCGACTCTACGCTCTCTTTGAGCAGGGAAGGTTCATTCGGGTGCCGGTGATGGTGGCCAGCGATACGGATGAAGGGTCGTCATTCGCCTATAATGCCACCAGTCCGGCAGAGGTGTCGCTCTTCTTACAGAGCTTCTACCCTCATCTGAGTACCGACCAGTTGCAGGCGGTTAACGATGCATACCCTATGATGGACCCAGTTACACAACATGCAGCATACTTTCCCTCGGCTTCAGCTGCCTTTGGCGATGCGACCATCGTATGTCCAGGGATCCATATCACCGACAGCATGGCGCGATTTCTCACAGACGGGTCTGACAGGGTCTGGAACTACCGCTATAATGTCCAGGATCCACCGAAGATCGCTGCCGGGCTAGGTGTCACGCACACGTTTGACCTCCAGGCCATCTTTGGACTGAATTATGGAGGTGGTGTCAGCAGTAGCATGAGGGATATAAACGCCCCGATCATTCCGGTCGTGATGCACTACTATATCAACTTCATAAGAACGCTGAACCCGAATCTGCTCAGGGCTGATGGCGCTCCATTCTGGAGGCCCTGGGGTGCTGGAGAACGATTGAAAGTCCAAACAAATTCAACCGTAATGGAGTCAATATCAGACGTCCAACGCAATCGGTGTGATCTGTGGAAACGATTGGCACCCGTGTTGGAGGTTTAACTGACATTTACTGCACATAAGAATAGCTCAGTCTCCTACAAAGTATACATCAAAGTCCCATATCCCAGCTGATCGTATCCTCCACTGTCCGGTCCGTAGTCTCCGCCGCCCCCCTCGGCACCAGAGCCATTTTTCACCACCAGGTCACGGTATTGTTTGGTGTACGTGACGCCCAACTTCTTCAGCACTCCGTAATGGTTGTAAAGGAGTTCCCATATGGGCCGGATGTCCCCACGGCTGCCGCTACTGATGACGGTTTGAGTAACGTCGCTGTTGGTGTAGGTTGTATAGGGTACATTATTGCCCAGATTGTATTTGGCGGCGTACTCGGCTCTGTTCGGGTCAGTATGATATGAGCATGCATGCATGACCTTGATCATGAAGACTTACCCGGCAAGAATGCGATTGCCCAAATATCCAAACAAGTCATCGCCTTGGTTATAAGCCGTTTGGGCAATGACTCCCAACAGAGCGAAATCCAGCATCGCATGGCCCTGGTCCCGGCCCGCTTCCTGTCCCTGCCCCAGAGTCTCCCCGCTGACCTGGTACAGCTTCCAGATCGTCTTTCCTATCTGTCCATTTCCGGCCCCGGACTTGAAGTAGTTGACGCCCTCGTCGTACATGGTGCGGTTATCGGTCAGCACCCCGATGGAGATTATGGAGGCGATGTTGCACAAGTCCCAGTTTGCCCAGTAATGGTCGATTTTGGCGCCGTTGTGCTGTTCCAGGAAGATGTGGTTGAGCGGGTAAAACACCTTGAGCATCATGGCCTGGAACTTGGCGAGATTCTGCGCAGACCAGCCCGTGTATGTCCGCATAATCTCCGCAGCATTGGCTATCTCGTAGCCGTAAATCCCCGCGGCCAGGAACTTGTCCGCCGACCCAGAGATGCCCGTCAGGGTGGAAGCCCAGGCGTCGAGGATGCTGATTGCTTTGTTCGCGTAAGCCGTGTCACCGGTCACTTTCCAGTAGATGGCCATGACATAGGCGGCGGCAATGTCCCTGTACAGCGACGCATAGTTCTGCGTGTGAGTACCGTCATCGCCGCGATAGACGATCGCCTGCGGGTTGGCGGTGTAACTCAGGGATCGGTACGAGCTGCTGCTCAGCTTGTTCCATCCGGTGAGCCATGGTTGGGCTTTACTGTTGACCTTGCTGGTGATTCTGGAAAAGTCGGCTGCTGTGTGGAGAAGTCCTGGATGGGCGAAGCTGCTACGTTCCTGGAGGGCGCCAGGGAGTACCAGGGCATCCGACAGTGCCAGCAGGCTCGACAAGATAGTGAACTTCATCTTCGTGTCGTTTCAGGATGACTGCTCCGAGAGTGGTTGGCCAACGTGCATTGTTTGACAGCTTATATAGCATGGCCGCCATACTCCTACTTCCAGTTCATACTCCTAGTTCGAGCTTCATACTCGGCGGGTCAAACCCGGTTCTTACACCGGCTCTTCTGTTTGAGATACACGTATCTGGCCTGTCATAGTCACTAGTTCAGACAAAACAGAAACAGGGGCTGGGGAAATTGCGGGGTCATCGTGAAGATTGTTTCCACGTTTGGGCTGACCTCCGTTTAGGCTGATTAACAGTGTGGGGGTCACACCCTTGCCAATTTAAACTCAAGATATCCCGAGCCTTGTGGCTCCTTATGTCGGTAGATCCCTCCTCTTTGAAGGTTCGGAGAATTGCGCGTGATGAGCCTCACCTGACAGCCTCTGGGTTAACGGAGTATTGCCCGGCCCTCTTCCAGAGTATGAAGACGATCATGAACATGAAGAAACGCTCTCCCTACCATGGCAGGACGGTGAAGACACGTCTTTCACAAGGGTGTCTGAAGTGGCACGGGATCTGTCGATCATCAGCTAGCAGCGTATTAGGCGGAGTGTTGGCATACGATCATCCTCGTACGGAGTAACGCCCGGAAATCTAGTGTCCAGCCCATGTAGAGCTTCGTGTATCCTTTAAGTCCTATCGTGCCCATTTGGCTGGGATTAAGAACACCGGCGAGCAAAGTCCAAGAGAGACAGAGAGGTGATGCCCTCATACCGCCACCAATAGACACGAGAGTCTGCTACTTCTGAATCGTGGACAGCATCTTAGCCGGCCTTCTCCGAATTATCCTCTTTTTGAACTGACATATTGTGACGGCCTACTATAACTTGAAAGAATTCGAAGAGCTGTAGTTTCGAGATGTTATGGTGGTTCATCTTCGAGCCCGTCGTTGCGTAAAATGGATCGGCGAGGTGTAGAAGAACGATTACAAGGATGATATAATCTGTTTCAACATAGTCGACAAGGACTTAATGAAGAGCGGTAGTGATCTCCCTGAGTAAGACAATAGTTGGTTGTTGTAGAATCAATATGTTGTTCCAGTTGCATAAGTGGATAGAGGTATAAGATGCTCAGTTCGCCCAACCTTTGCAACAAGAGCAATAACCATGCTTATTCTTAGATTTCATAATTCTCTTGTCTAAAGAAGTATCATAAGTGTCAGTCGCATCGGGGTAGTCCGAGTTGATTCAGCTGCACAGCCTTCTGTCTGATGTAATGATGCAATGGCCATCTCAGTCAAGCTGAATACTATGTTCTCTTCGCACCACTGACCCAAAGAAAGACAAGGTATATTGTCGCTATAGATATAACCCCTGGATGGTCTGAGGTCATATACACGCATAATTCTACCGTTCACGGAACTTATAGCGGTACATAGCAGAGCACATCTCACAGCCGAACTCCGATGGATGAACGATGCCATCTTGTTTCCCCTTGCTATGACTCCATATCTGATGTCATGTCTCTGCTTTATGCAATCAACATCTCTACTGACACTCCACGTATCCACCCCCAGGATCGGACCTACAATGGGGTATCGGAAATGGAGCATAATTGGCTCTTTCCACTTTTCCGGCATCCACAATCATGTATCGAAGACTGATATTAAATGCGGCCGACCAGACTCACAGGAGACAGTGATTGCATTTCTCAACGTCACGATCATCCAGCTGCTGTTAACAGGGCTGCTGATCCAGACACTGAAATTTTGTTATCGTCATGTCCGCCGAGCCACCCACCCCGGCAGTAGAACAGCCGGACCACACATATGACCACGCAGAAGCCGATGAATTAGCCAGAGCAGTCAAGAAATTTGAAGAATCCGACCAGCCGAACCAGTCACACCGCGAGCATGCATCTCAGTCCAGCTCAGACTGCAGTTCGGACGAACCCTCGAAAGAAATGCAGCGCGGCAAGCGCGAACTCACCGAGGACGACTGCTACGACAAGCTCGGCTTCTGCTTTCCCTGGTACAAGAAATGGACTATCCTCACCGTCATCTTCATCGTGCAGATTTCCATGAACTTCAACACGGGCGTCTACGCCAATGCGGTCCCGGGGCTTCAGCAGGAGTTTGGCATCCGTGCACAGGCTGCCCGTGTCGGCCAGATGATCTTCTTGGTGAGCTACGCCTTTGGCTGTGAGCTGTGGGCACCCTGGAGCGAGGAGTTTGGTCGCTAGCCCATCATGCAGCTGAGTTTATTCTGATGAACGTCTGGCAGATCCCCTGCGCCGTGGCACCGAACTTTGGGACAATCGTTGTGTGTCGGGCGCTCGGTGGCCTTAGCTCAGCCGGTGGATCAGTGACGCTGGGCATGACGGCCGATATTTTGGAGGCCGAGGATCAAGGATATGCGGTTGCATATGTCGTTCTCTCGTCGGTCGGGGGGTCGACCGTTGGCCCCTTCTTTGGCGGGTTCATCGGCCAATACTTATCCTGGCACTGGGTGTTCTGGGTGCAGTTGATCTTCGGTGGCGTCACCCAGGTCCTGCATTTCTTCCTCGTCCCGGAAACGCGCGCCACCATCCTCATCGACCGCGAGGCGCGCCGTCGCCGCAAGACCGGGGACGAGGTCTACGGCCCGAACGAGGTCAAGACGCCCCGGCTGGACGCCAAGGATGTGCTGCGCGTCTGGCGCCGGCCCTTTGAGATGTTCCTGCGCGAGCCCATCGTTCTCTGTCTGTCCCTACTGTCCGGTTTCTCCGACGCCCTCATCTTCATCTTCACCGAATCGTTCAGCCTCGTTTTCGAACAGTGGGGATTCAACACCCTCGCCGTCGGCATGACTTTGGTTCGATCTTGATCGGCTACATGATTGCCTACCTGATCTTCCTGCCAGATATCTGGCGTCAGCGCAAGATCCGCAAGATGCACGGCCCCGCTGCCCGGCTGCCAGAGTGTCGACTCCTCCTCCTCCTATTCATCGCACCGCTGGAACCAATCGGGCTGCTAGGCTTCGCCTGGACCTCGATGGGACCGGCCTATACGCCCTGGGTCGCACGGTGCATCTTCGCCTGCCTGATCGCCATGGCCAACTACGGCATCTACATGGCCACGATCGACTACATGGTCGCCGCGTACGGGCCGTACTCCGCCTCAGCGACAGGTGGGAACGGCTTCTCGCGGGATTTCCTGGCGGGAATTGCGACCATGTATGCCACCCCTATGTATGAGAATATCGGGGGAAGGTTCCATCTGCAGTGGGCGAGTACCTTGCTTGGATGCGCGGGTGTTCTTGTGCTGATCCCCTTATACATCTTCTACTGGAAGGGCCCGATTATTCGGGAGAGAAGCAAGTTTGCGCAGACGCTGGAGGCAGACCGGCAGCGGCATATGAGTCGGCGGGCGAGCAGAAGCTGTACGATGTTTGATTATTCCATTTTGTATATTATGATAATTCATGGACATGTATAAGATAGACCCGGTATACTTGTACTGTGTTGAGATATATAACATGAAATAGGCCACCCGACTAGCTCGTCCCAAGTCCATACTAGTAAACATACTACACGATATTAGCTTCCGTCGACCAATGAACCAGTGTGATGCTTACCCTAAAGTCCGGATTCTCTTTGTCCGTCAAATCCAAAAAGGCATTCGAGTGCTCAATCTTCTCGTCCACCGACGTCTCAGATGGCGAAACCTGGGCGGCTGCCGCAGCAGCGCTTCTCTTCTTCCGGTTACGGGCCATAAGGACAGTCCGCAGGGTCAGGAGGATGATATTGAAGAGGGCGTACAAGCAGAAATGAGCGGTCAGGCCTTTGTGGTATCTCGGGGCGTCATCGGATCGGAAGATCTGTTATATCAACATGTTAGTCTGCGTCAGCTTGACTGGTATGATGGCTGACCTGGGGTGCGGCGGCGTTGGCGGAGGACCAGGCGATGAAGGTCACCGCCAGGACGGTAGACTTCTTGGTCTGTCCGGCCACATTCCTCGAGATAAGGGAGAAGAGGAGGTTGCCCTCGGCGAGGATGAACTGTGTGCAATAGAAAGCGATGAGCAGGCCAGCGCGCGTCTTCGGTGTGGGAGGGATGGTGAAGATGATGGCCGTTCCGATAATGGCGGGTCTACACAGTTAGCGTGGTTTGAACCAGCGGAGGAACCTCTTACATAGTCCACAGATGCATGATGAGAATGGTCTGTTTGGTCCAGGTGGCCAGGGACGCACCGCCGACCATCACAGCGATAGTGACACCACCTTGTGCAATGTTGAGCAGCTGCGTCTGCAGAGTCGTAAAGCCGAAGCTCTTGATGATGATGTTGGAGAAGACCCCTAGACCACCGATAATCAAGCAGCTGGTTATCTGCAACAGAGCGTACAGCCAGACGGCAGGGTCTCTGAGCACCTCAAGCACTTGGTACTTCTTGAACACCCTGTTCTGAATACCAGTCTCATTGGCGCGCACTCGCTCGACCATCAGTCGCTTGTCCTCCTCGCTCCAGCACTTGGCCTTCATGGGGCTGTCGGGCAGATACCAGCCCATGAACAAAGCCCAGGCGCAGGTGGCTACTCCGAGGACAAGAAATAGAAGCTGCCAGGATTTGATGGAGTGGCCTTGGTAGTGCTGGACACCGTAGGCAAGGAGACCACCGACCTATTACTGTCAGACAATACTTCAACGGAAGTATAGGAACGAACCATGAGTTGGACACCCGTCACTACGGTACGTTAGTTATGCCTTGGATTATCCACCAGGAAGAACATACTGCAATACCACAAACTGGTCAGAATCGTCTGCTCCGATCTCGTGTACCACATCGATGTCATGAGGATGAAGCATGGCTGCACACAGGACTCGAAGATACTACTCTTGTTAGCGGACGCATATAATGACCAGGACAATATCCTACCCAAGAAGAAACCGCACGACCATCAAACCAGGAAAGTTCGTCGCCGCAGCGCTGCACTGCAGAGGATCAGCCTCGAACTCGCGGACCGCGGACGATTCACTTACAGCAATCACAGTACCCCAAAGAAAGACACTGAATGCATAGTCAGTTCTCGTCATCATCCCGATCAGGTCGACAAACGTACTTGGTCGCAATGTATTTACCCACAGGCAGCTTCTGCAGGAGAAAGTTGGTCGGGTATTCTCCTACCAACACGCCAACGTACAGGATCGTCCCCAGCCAACTGTAGTCGTTGCCGACGAGACTTGCGTCCTTCTGGATCCCCATGACCGAAGCAAAGCCGAGTGTGCCCTTGTCGAGTGATTGACAGAAGTATGTCTGCAGTCGTTAGAGCCGAGCATCTCAAGCAGGGAGGTAGACATACCGCAAGCATGCACACCAGCACGCGGCGGTTGATCATCCAAAACAAGCGTCGGTTGGTCGCCTTGTCGACATGAATGGCGGTCGAGTTCGCGTACGCTGCTGTTTCCTGGTCCAGTTCTCCATGGTGGAAGGGTTTCACAGGAGCAAGCGTCTCCTGCTGCTCGGCCTTGGAGACTTTACCTTCGATGTCAGCCATGGCCGATGTTGGGATAAGTGGCTATGAGTATCTGAGGGGATGTGAGCTTGAACTAGGTGTATCAGTGTCGATCCGCGACAGACATGCTATATACCCAAGTGAACAATCACGGACAAAGCGACTAATGGTAGGTGAACTGGGGTTGGGGAGGCCCTGGTGTGGGGTCGGATGATTCCCGCAAAACAACACAATTTGTCGGCAGGGACAGCAGTAGGGTTCGCATAGACACTAACCAGGGGAAGCTCCGTTATTTTCTCCGGAGACTTGCTGGAAGTCACAAACGTTGTTCAAGGCGGGGAAGACACCATCGAGGGACAGCCCCTTAGTGCGAAAAGATGAAGCTGGCGGAGAATGGCCGGTAATTACCCCGCGAGCCCTAATGCTGATACCAATCTGATGACAAGAGGGATACTGAGAACAGAAGTCGGCATGCTCTCCGTGTCCTGCAGGATTCGGCTGGGTCGATGTTGCATTCTGCTCTGGGTATTCCGGTCTTACATGGTTTGTCATGGAGATGGCTCTACCAGGGTGTACTCGGGAGACAGATTGAAAACGCAGGAGATTTGCCTATCTACACCACTTTCATACTTCAAGCCTGCACTTTCGAGTAGGGATACGAGCTGCGATATTGGAGGCTCTAACCAAGTTGCCGGACAATATGGATGTATGGTTCTCGGTTCCAGTTTTCAATAGTGCAAAACTTTGATTGTACTGACTGCTCTATCAAGGAACATGCACGGAAAAGAATCAGGACCGAATCAAAAGACCAGACGAATGGGACAGCTGCGAAGACAGGTGTTGTCCCTCAGTCTGTCATTCACGCACTCTACTCTGAATCGGTGGCGGCAAAACTGTGGAATGTGGCCAGCAGGGCTTTGGGAAAGGTGCGTATACACTTCAAAGAGAGGAAGACCACGCTGACACCGTCTAGAATGAACCTCCCACCTTCTTTCCCGAGTACACAGGCAAAGATGGCGCCACATACGTTTACCGACACCTGAGCTTCTGGACGTCTGGCTTCTTTCCAGGGTCCCTATACCTGCTGCTCGAGCGCCAGACCAAGTACAACAGCAGCACAGAGCCCCGAACTCCCCATCCCCTCCTTCTTCAACACAGCTGCCAGTGGTGGACCGTCAACCTACACCAGAACGCCACCCTTAACACAACACATGATCTTGGCTTCATGATGGCCCCCTGGGCTATCAAAGCGTGGGAGCTACACAGGGATGCGAGGGCGTTTAGCAGTCTGGTGACGGCAGCAAATACTCTTGCTAGTCGATTCTGTCCCAAGATCCAGTCTATCCGCAGCTGGGACATATGCGTGACGAAGCGGTATTCATACACGGATCCTTCCAAGGACTTCCTTGTCATCATCGACAACATGCTCAACCTCGACATGCTATTCTGGGTCGCCAAAGAGACCGGCAATCAGCACCTGTACGACGTCGCAGTGGCACACGCCCGCACAACGCAAAAGCACCATATTCGCGCCAACCACTCCACATACCACGTGGTGAACTTTGACCAAGAGACATGCATGCCCAAGGAGAAGGTGACGAACCAGGGATACAACGACGAGAGTTGCTGGGCCAGAGGTCAGGCGTGGGGCATCCTCGGATTCGCGCAGACATTCCACTGGACTGGTGATCCGTCGTTCCTGCAGACGTCGCGACAGCTTGCCAATTTCTTCATTGAGCACCTGCCTGGCGATGGCGTGCCGTACTGGGACTTTGATGCACCCGTCACGAGCGACTCGCCTAGAGATACGTCCGCCGCGATGATCGCATCGTGCGGGATGCTCTTGATCTACAGAGCGCTCAGGGCGCAGGGCAAGTACGACGAATCGGAGCATTATCTCCTTGCTGTCATGCGCATCGTCGAAGGGACGTTGACCAAGTTTCTGAACCCTCCGACCTTCAAATTCACTGTTCAGCCCTCCGATCGGGGCATCGAAACATACGAGGATGGGCTGCCCTGCGACCACGAGGAGAAGCCAGAACCTGGATCTTTGGCTGTGGACATGTCCGTTGCGACGAATGGGATAAATGGCAGAGGGGTAAATCGCACTGTGAGCAAGAAGGCAGCAGCAGAGACAATCCTCACCGGTGCCACGATCAACAACTATGAGTTTGCTCCCAGAAGATGGGCCAATCATGGTCTAGTCTATGCAGACTATTATTTCATGCTTCTGGGGAACATGCTGCTTGAGTTGGGTTTGGTGCCATCGTTGCCATAGACGATATCTCAGGTCGATTGACCCTACTTTCCGTAGCCGATCATGTCAGGTTTCTAGAAGGCAAACTTTGTTCAGATTCCATTACCAATGCAGGAATTAGATTTAGATCTCTTGCGCCTGAGCACTAGTAAGGGAGTTGACATTCATCGCATATTGCCAGGTACTTCGCTGTTGGAAGTGATGTTTTCACCGTTGATGGAAGAATTCCCATAGCGACTTATCCGATGCCCTGGACTGAATGGTAAGTCCACGAAACGATTCGTATAATCAGGATTCGGGTTATTATTACAATCATTATAAGACTGGGCCACCGGGTCCCACAGCGGTTGTGAATGCAATGTTTCTACAGCCGGAGCGGAATATAGGGATGGGATATGATCCTTGGCCAGGATAGCCGGGTCGAGCATATGTGCTTCCGACATCGGTGCATACTGCGGCTGCAGCGAGAGAGGAAGTGGCGGAAAGGCAAGACTGAGAGCGTTGTAGAGCGAGCCGTTTGGCGAGGGCCCATTCTGCATAGGGTCACGGTTACTCCAATCGCCTGCGTAAATCGGGAGGTTTGGGCTTTCTGAGTGACCTGACCCGTCGAACGAGCCACGTGGAAGATTCGTCCGAGATTGAGAATTGACAGGCCCCTCGTTGCCGTCCGAGTCTTGCTCCGGCAGTGGGTCCGCTCGCTCTGTGGAGTCCGAATATACAGTTCGCCGGATATCCAGGCTGGCCCGACCGGACGCATGCTTGCGTGCGTTGAGCAGTCTTTTTGCGAAGACGGATGCCAGATTTTCCAGGCCGGGTGTGTTCGGACCCGCCCAGCGTCGAGAAATCTCCCAGAGACTGGCGACGATGCTGTCTAGTTGATCGGGGATTGCCGTTTTGGTGTATGTGGAATGTGTCAAAAGCATGCGGCCGGCGATAAAAAGGCAGAACGAGAATTGCGGATTGGTGAGGATGGGCGAGTGATGAAGGAATTGGTGGCCGATGGTGGCAATCTCCGCTGCAGCCTCGATGCATGTCTCCACAGAGGCGACGGATGGGAGTCTCACAGGACACTGTTTCCAGTGCGAGGGCGGGTATGCGATACTCTGATGAAGGAGAATAACCGCGGTGTTGTGGGTCATGTGCGCCAGAGTGAGGTTCGGATCCATCACTCCATCCTCATTTAAGACCGATGCGGTTCGCCATTTGGGCGGCAGGAAGAGCTTCCATTGCACGAGGCGCAGGTCGAGCTCCTTGAACTTCATCAGCCATAACTGTGCCTTTTGCGCGTTCTGGAGGTCCAAGGCGTGCTGCAGAAAGAAGTTAATGACGAGGGTAAGCGACTCGGTCGCCTCGATGCAATATGCGAATCCCCCGATTGCATCCTGCTCGGGGTCGCCCTTGGCGGCTTCATTGTCGCCGAGATTCGGACTACTGTTGCTCAAAGTGCTTTTGTCGGAAATGCCAAAGAACGGTGCGCGCACCTCGTATTCCTTTTCCCAGAGAGCACCTTCGCAGGGCAGTCGGCGCTTGACATCGGCACCGGTAAGGCTGAGATTCCACCCCGTCGACACGCTGCAAAATCGGTCCATCAGGAAGACAGTCCAAAATACCCGTCGTCGCTCCTCCGCCTGCCACCAGAACTTGGAGGGTTTGAGGAAGACCATGCGTTGGATGAGATACTCGCCCTCCTCTGATCTTCGATCACCCTGCGACTCTTCTACACTGAGCTGAAGTTGCTCAACTGTGCGAGTCATGCTACCGACAATCGACCATGCTGATGGCCCGCGGCCACTACCAATCTATTTTCCATCAGTGAATTTTGTTGTGAAAGATGATGATGATGTGACCTACAGTGTCAAAAGCAATAATAACCAGAGCCTGCAGATTCTCGACCGAGAAGGATTCCATACTGTTAAGAATGACTTTTTGCCGACTGGCAACGGCCATTTCCCTCCGAACCTCGTTGGTGCCCGCGTCAGGATGGTGGGTGAAGCGGATGCAGGTCGCCACGATAGCGTGCAAAATATGGATCGCTTTGTCCCAGCCGTCGGTGGTCTGTATCTGCTCCCGGAACTTTCGCACATGTAGAATTGGTATCCAATGATGGACATTTGCAAAGTAGAACTCGACCAGGTCGTTCATCACTTCTCGAGATGGCAGGCCATGCGCGCCGAGATGAGCCGACGAAGAATGACCCGGGGGAGTCGGTCGCTCGGTCGCGCTGGATTGGGACTCGAGCTTTCTGCGTTTGGCCAAAGGAACGTCTTGCTCAATGCCGTCCTCGTGGGTGTCGTCAACTACCGAACGAAGAGACCCTTCATTGTCCTCTGCCAGCTGCAGTAGAGTGTCCTTGACGCGATCGCGGACTTGATCTAGGCCAATCCTCTCGAGCTCCCTGCCGTTCTGCTGAACATCGTCTGTTGAGCTGCTCACCATATCCCAGACTTTTTGCCACAGAATCCCCTGACCGATGAACATGTTCTCCAGCGCCTCCACGCGACGTTGGAGCTGTTCGACGGCCCCGGCTCGCAGGCCAGGTTTCAGGCGGCCGTTGTCGTAGAGACAAATTACATTGAAGCGGACGCATTGTGAGCATGGCTGTTCCCGGTCGCATTTGGCCTTTTTGCGCCGACAGGATTGACATGCAGGGATCTTGTCCTTGTTGCTGTCCAGCTGGTCCAGGTCCGGTGGGGCTGCTGTTGACCTTGGGGACATTGCGGGAGAGGGATGGAGTCTCAATGAAAACTCATGTTGCTTGTCGTGGATTGCGAGGAAAGGACTCTGTAAATGCTAGTGATCATCAAATATTTTTTTTTTTCGGGTTTTCCTGGCACCCATCAAGTTGTGCAGGGACCAGCTGCAACGCCCCATGGGGTAGTCGAAGCTCAATCAAGGCTTCACCAAACTAGTCAACAACACCTCGTGAGTCGTGTCCATGCCCCAGAAGATGGCATAACAAGGTTTTCCCCGCACTTGGGTAAAGTAGTCACTCGACCAGGATCCATATGCCGGAAAGACAGTGGGGAAGACCTGGGGTGCGATCGTTGATGGATGGTTGGATATTACGACGCGTGTGCGTACTCCGTAGACTACTGGTTGGCGAGTCCATTCAGCCTGACAAAAGGCTGCGATGTGCCACTACATTGGCGGAAAAATTGCCGGAGATTCTCCCGCGTCCTTTCAACGATCGACTCTCCACCGGAGTTATCTTGACCTTGGTTGAGGGCATCCCAAAGATTGCTTGCTTGAGTCATTTGATGTGCGCAAGAGATCATCACCAGCACTGAGCAAAGATAGACAAGTTCCTGATGATTTTGTAATGGATGAAGATACTCGTCGTGGCTAATTGAGGATGCAGAGAGAAATTTACAAGAGTATCTCTAACGTCCTCTGTATGATGGATCACGTGCTGTTTATTTGTTTTGATCACATGATGTGCCAGCGTGTCCCCTACACTCCACAGCATTTCCATCATCACAGCAGCTCGTCCAAATTGAGCCTTATACAGACCACCGATCATAATCGGGAATATCCTCGTTATAGTAGGTCTCTGTGACCTGTGTAAAGCCTACGTCGGGCGCATGTGGTGGCCACGGCTGCCCAGTCCCGGTCGCAAACAGAGCAAAACTCGCTCCTTCGAACACAAACCAACCCGTCGGAGCGAATGCCAACCAAGACGATGACAGCGATACCAGCCAGGTGATGGCCTCATCTGACCCAAAGCTGAATCCCAATGTGTAGGAGAGGGGCTCCGCGCGGATATGCAGCGTCAGGTTGGACGGAATGGAGGACAAGTTCAGCTTGACCTGATTATACTGTTACGCGTCAGCAACATTTCCTATCTTGACATCACGGACTGCAGGTCAATTACCTCTGTGGTCCCATTCTTCATCAACTGAGTGAAAATGCACATGCCTGTGCTATTGACACAGCCGGACACTCCGATGTCCTGATGTTGGAGCTCACTCAGATAGGCACTAATCCCGACTGTCTCGCCGTAGCCCAGCCCGGACGTTGTCGGCAGCAACTGCGCGCTAAAGGTCATATTCAGCGACTTTTGCTTTCGCAGAATGGCTGCTGGGGTGTCCCGGTCGCTCAGGCCGAAAACGTTCGGCCGGAAGACAATTCCATGAGAATCCTTCTGAGCATTCGCCTTCTTCAGATCGTAGATGGGCGCGTACGGAGTCCGCAATGTGTACCATGAGGGATCAAGCGTCTTCTGGTCAAATCTGTCGAGCAAAGGCGACGGCGGCAGTTTCTGATCGGGAGCAGGACCGACCGATTCACTGAGTAAGACTGGATTACCGTCATTGATCATCGGCCATCCATCCTTCCAGGTGACTGGCGACATAAAGGTCTCCCGGCCCAGGGGCGACGAGCCATTGATCTTACGTCGAGCGAGGTAGACCGCGTAACTGTCACCGTTGGCCGCTTCGAAGATGGTCGCATGGCCAGTGGATTGCACCGTGAGGTTATCGTAACCGTACGCTCCATTAAAAAGAATTGGATTATGCGGCGCAGGCTCCCATGGTCCTTCTGGACACAAGGAACGTGCGATACTGGCACGGTGAAGGTCGTCCGTGCCACCTGCCGGACTGTGAGTCGACTGGCGCTTCAGGGACAAGGTGATGCTTACCCTCGGCAATGAGAAGATAGTACCATTGATCCCGCTTGAACATCTTGGGGCCTTCGGGACGAGCACTGGCATCATGCGGGAGCGTGCCATTCCACATGGAGCGATACTCCCCGACACAACGGCCACTGTCGATGTCGACTTCACACTGGTAGATTCCCCAAATGCGGTCCTTGTTGTTGTTGGGGGCCATCAGGTTCAAGTACACTTTGTGCGAGACGGGATCCTGGAATAATGCGGGATCGATGCCCCAAGGGTCACCCCAGGTGGGATCTGACCAGGTCTTGAGGTCGTGCGACGACACCCACATCACTCGCGGCCAAACTCGGGCGACCGGGTCGTATGTCCATCGCGTCATTGCAGCAAGGTAGTATTTTCCGTTGATGTA